AAAAAACAGTACCAAAGAGGGCGGCAAGAACTCCTTTTTCCATGAGCTTTGGCTACTTACTTTAGGTCATTAGTGTCTCGTCAACTGGATGGGATATTCATTCTTAGGGCCTTGAAGTGGAAGAAGCCCCGGCTGACTAAGCCAATGAAGAGAGAATCAGGCAACGTACTGAAATGGGATGTGAAAGGTGAAAGCCTTACCCTCCACACTCTTTTAGAAAGCTAGCGCCATCTATCTGTCAGCAAAGCCCCCCTTTTTTTAATAGTAATATAAAATCAGACATGAAGGGGAATCCAGTCTTAAAAGCTCATCTGACCCTTCTTCCCCAGTTCCTAGAAATGCCATCAAACCCGCTTTCCCACTCCCTGAAGCCGAAAACTCGATTTTCATACTGGGCTACTAAGTTAAGTATTAAACTGCCCGAACCCGCCCTATTGAAAGTTCTATCATCAGTTCATTTCTATCCCCGCCCCGAGGAAAGCCCTACCTAATAGCTAGGGTTTCGGTTTCGTTAGCGTCAGGCGAAAGAAGGTAGCACTTGAGTTGCCTCCGATACCATAGGGAAGCGGCCATAAAGTCTTGGAGGCATGGGACAAAGTCTACTGTATCTACTGTTCCAGTCACTCGCTTCAGTAAGTTCCGCCTCGATCATAGCTCTCTGCTCCGAGCTATGCACCATCTGCACTTCCCGTTCAAGTATCTCGGACCGCCGTGAAGGTATCTGAGGAATGCTGCACAATCAGACTCATCTCTCTTATCTACAGCATCCGCGGCAGACGATGTTTCACTTATAATCTGAGACAAATTCAATAGTTCCGGCTGAGAAGACCACCAAAGGGAATATCCAAGGTACACGCAGGGCAAGAGTCTATTTACCATATCGGACAACGGATATCTTTCTTTTTCAACCTTCAGGCTCGGACCAAATGGTTCCAGTATAATTCTGTGAGAACATGGCAAAAACCTCAAAAGGAATGGCTTAACTGGGCAGAGCGTATAGAGAGTGATGACAAGATTGTCGAGATTTTGAAGAATGTTGGCATCTACGAATGCATTCCATTTTCCAAGCAAAATATCCCCGCTCGATGATCGCTGTAGCCCTTTGCTTCTTGAGCACATCTACCCTTTGACTTCGGCTTTGGGTTGATTCCATTCCTTCGGTCATGGACGTGTCCTTGTTAACTAGCTTGCCATTCTACGGACTGGATGTGACTGTGGATATGTTGACTACTTGGAGTGATGTGAAATTTAATGCAGATAATACACATATCTCTTTCGGCTCCTGCGCTCGTAGCGAGATGGGGAAAGGTGAGATAAGAGGTCAGGAGCATTGTGCCTTTCTTCTTCACTTTCTTAGTCATCATCTTCTTTGTAATCCAAAAAGTATGATGTCTAAGGAATATGGCCATATTGCCATAGCTTTGGCCTCAGGCCGTCTCCCCCCTTTTGTCCTTTATCACCTTTACAGAAGTGACAAAAAACCTTTCAAATCTTTCTTCTCCAACTCCTCTTAGTCCGCCTACTACTATTATCCCTTCTCTTCGACCATCGACCCTGCTCCTCTGGCATTAAGGCCAGGAAAGGAATCAGTGCCAAAAGCGGCTACGACTACGAGAGCAGTCAGCCTTATAACTTTAACACCGGTTACGTTCTTCTTGTCTTTTGCAGCGGTTAGGAATTCAATAGCAGTTGATTCAATTGCTAGTCTGACAACGGCTTATTCTTGAACAAGAACCATGGCATTCTCTGCCTACTCTTATTCTATGTCATTTGCTTGCCTTAGTAAGCCTTCAGCTCTTCGAATACAAAAGGGATTAGATTAAGTCAGTTACTTCCCTGCCTTTCCCGACGCCTCTGGCTCCCTTGCTTCTAGACCTCAAAACAGCTTATTCGATCACAGTTGATTCCGTGCCTGAATGTGAAGTCTGTCCCGTGATCCGATTAGTGGCATGCCCTTTCTCCTAGTGCCGTCACTTCCTAGCAGACATCTGTCCATTCAATCGGAATGGATATTTCTAGAGGTATACGTGATTTAGCGGTATCCCACTTCTCTTCCTGAAAGTAGATACAAAAAGGAACGCTCTTTCTTACTTATTGATTGTACGGCATTCCATGCAATTTCAACTTAGTTTCTATTCTGTCGAGAGGGAAAGCCAGCGAATCAACATTATTGGACACAAAGAAAATTCACTCTTTCTTCTAATCAACAGAAAGGGAGTGTTGAATTGGGACAGGAAACTCTCATAAGCCAGCCAACAAGCCTAACCGTCCCTATGTCATCGGGGTCAGATACCCTGTAGCCCCTCTTCCCCTGCTGCAGCTATTGAATCCGGAATAATGCAATCAATCCTTACTTATTATACCAACATAAGCATAAGACAGCAAAGAAGATATGATATCCCCGAATCGAAAGCCAGTGCCAGCTACTCCTACTGCTATTGATTAAAGATCGACAATCTATTCGCCAAGGGACAGCCTTCTTTTCTTTATATTTTATATACTGATATATGAATTTTAGAATAAATAAAGAGAGGGACTCTCAACAACGAAAACTGACTCGACAGCGACACTTGACTCCTCCACAAAAGAAATTGCCTCGGGGAAGAACGAGAAACTGGCCTCTTTGGTGGCATTGGCATAGAAAAACTACCTCCTTTTCTCTCTTTTTCTTAAGCTTAACCCCTGACTGAGCTCTTAGCTTTCAGGGCATTGCCCGCTGACTAAGACGACTACTGCCTAAGAGGCTACACTGTCTAGCTTACTTACTCCCATGCGGCGCTTACTATCAACAGACCCCGGCCGCGCCATCCCTTCGGGTCGGGCTACCCGCCCTTCCTTTGCCGACACACCCCCTCTTACTCCTTTTCAGGAAGAAGGGACGAACTCCTCCGCTTTTCCCTGAGAAATGACTGACTAAGCTAAGATAAGAATCCGGGGGGCGACGGGCTACATAATTCCCTTACAGAGTTTTGGGACTGAAAATGAAAAGAAAAAGCTCGTTCTCCAACGGGTTGGAAGCGCCTATTGGCTAGGAAAGGAGCTACCTTAAATTAAAGGCAAGAAAGACTTTTTTTTTGGGGTCCTTGCTTACTAACATAGAAGAAGCAGGAACAGATTCAGCATCTAAGGACTGAGATGAATCAGAATCTTAACAAGAAAGTTTCTTTCCTTACTTTGATCGCGTTTTTCCGACCAGGTCAACACATTGGGGGCGCCCCTTTTTTGTTATTTTTAAGAAGGAGACAGAATCACGATCAACCGGCTTCTTGACATTGGCATAGACTCGCTAAGGCTTGGCTTCCTAACTCAATAATAAGCAGGCTTGCAGACCTTGGTCTATGACCGATATAGGCGAGTTTATGCCACTTTGAATCCACCGAATGGGATCTTTTCTTACGCCCCCGTGTCTGAGGGACCTTGTCTCCTGTGCCTGATATACCCGTATTGGAACAAAGGACTTCGCCCCTGTCTTAGCTGCTTTACTTAGCGGCTTTAGGACCATTTCGGGCCTATGGCACGGCACCGCCTCTTCGGACCTGTATTAGCTCTTAGCTCGGTTAGAACATTGCGAACTTCCCCGCCTAGCAAGGTTGGTGCGAGCCTCCCTCCACAGTAATGATCTTCCGACCCATACATAAATAGGTCGCATCTTTGGGCACTTACTCTTGCAGCATCAACCGCTCAAGAACCATACTAAGACCCTTTTTTGATCGAGGAAGTCCCTTGGGACATAAGAAAAAAGTAGATAGCCCTTCCACAGACGAAAGAGCTCAAGGCTTCTTAGCGGTCTAGCTTCGCTACCTGCATTCCTGAGTGAGGAAAGACCCGTGCTGGGTTAGGCATACTCCTTGGTTGTTGACCTTGGGTTTGGCCGAAGACCTATTACTGGAATAGGGACTACTCGGGCAAGACTATTAAGACCTTGCGCCTTCCAGAGAGATGAGAGGTCTCAACGAGCCTTTATAGGATAGGCTTGGTTTGGTCCCTTTATAGGCCCCCGCCTATAGTATAGAGTATAGGCTCGTTTTCTTTCATATATAGATAGGTTCGTTTAACGCTTAGCATGACTGTACTTGGCTATACAAAATACAAAGAAGGCTTCTTCCCTTAGAACAAGTGAAGCTCGCTTATTTCACTCTCTTCAACAGAAAAGGAAATAGGAAAATCCTTGATCGTAGATCGATAGAAGGGAATTAAAATTACTTGAAAATCTTTTGCTTTTCTTTCCTTAAGGGCTAAGGTAAGGGCATCAATCGAAAGATTTGAGCTAGTTCATCCAACCTCACTTACTTAATTAGTCTTGAATTTGAAGGGAAGCATCACTGGTCATAACCTCCTTGCTAGCTCATGAAAGCCGGTTACCGAGTGTTCTAACCCGGCAAGAAGGCCTGCGCAAAAGAACGAACAACGAATGGAAGGCAGCATCCTGTGTCGAAGGCATGTTCCAGTAATTGGTGTAAAAGATATGCTTTATGGTCAAGGTTGGATCAAAGCCCTTCCTTTTTTTTCGCTTCAATGCCTTTTGACGACAGCTCAGGAAGTAACAAAGATTGCTTTGAAATGATCAAGTCAATTCAAGGATCCTCTTGGAACGCTTTGACTCGAGTCGCTCCTTCATCACATTTAGTATGTGACTTGAAGGGTCAAGCAGATAAAGACTCGTCTACCGATCCGAGAGGGAAGGTTTCAATCTTGCAATCAATAGAAATTTACTTTCTTTGGTTTGGGAAGGGGCGGTCACCCGAAGCGGTGTAACTTGATAGTCTTTTAAAGAGCGGAATTACTGCAGAAGTATAGGACGCTCACTCCCAACTCGGAATCCTTATGAAGAAAAAAGAGATTTGAGCAGACTTAGAGACGAGACTAGTGAAATTAGTTATGGGCCATATGCCCTTCATTGTTGAAGAGCTCCTTTCTTGATCTAGCATCAGATAGGGAGGCAGCGGGAGGGAATACTATAACAGACGAAGTTCTCGGACACAGCAAGCTCCATCTAGATCTAGACCCACACTGCCGGTCCCGCATAAGCACCTTTCTCGAGGCCACCCTGGAATGTGTATATAATAATAAGATTTTTAGCCCCAACAGAACCTAGGAGAGGAGAATTTTCTGGGACTAGCCCGCTTTCCCTGACCTGCCTAACTGTTCTGTCTGATAAAGCAACTCGAACAAAGCAAAGTGAGAAGAGCGGAAGTCAGGCCACTCGATAGGGGAAGAAGAAGGTCGAGACTGTGATGCTGACTGATCTTCATACTGGCCTGATGCTGGAGTGGCCATGACCATATCTTTAGTCTTGGGCTGCATAGTGTTCGGGTCTCCTCAGAAATTAACTCTGAAAGAGTTGCTTCAAGATTTTGGGACCCTGTAGACCATGTGTTCCGCTTAGGGGAAGATGAGTTGACTCCACAAAGAAGAAAATTCTTGCCCCTCCCACTGCTACTTTCACTGGTTAAAACCCATAGGCAATTGGCACAGGATCTGATGCCCTTACTTCGGCTACTAGCTTCACAGAAAGGAAAGATGCTTCAGAGCTTAAGCGAAGCGATCTGTCTTTCCGCGATTAAAAAACTTCTCTTTTTCCCTTTGACTTTTTTGTAAACTCCTTTCCATCAATCCGATCTCTAAACCTCACCTGAAGTGAGCTTCTTCGAACCTCGATCAACATTCCTTGGCGGCCTTATCTTGATGTTTTCCCCTTCATTCAATGAAATAACCGTACTTACCTCTTTTCGAACTTCCTTCCTGCTTTCATAGCTTCTTTTCTTCCTAGCTTCCGGGCTGACTACCTCTTTGAGGTGATCGTAGACCATCATTTCAGCTTACTACGACCGATGGGATTGGACGCGACGCACCTTCTTCTTTTATTTATATCCCGGTTGATAAAACACATCCCTTACTGCTGTACCCAATGTCGCTATCGTACTAGCCGGCGCTAAGGATTCACTAACCGTTACTGATTTATTCCTTTGAGACCTTCCTGCCATGGCATGGCTATGATTCGAATCTAAAACTTAAAAGTATGGTTGGTGAGCTGAAAGCGAACTGTTGGAGTAGATTAATTCAATAACCCTACTTGCCCTTGCGCCCTTACTGTCATTCTCGGGCTATTATCCCGCAATCTTATTTCTTTTTAATTAATTAAATATCTTGGGATTCCATTCCCATTTCTTTTCTTTCCCACTACCCCTCGTTTTTGCTTTCTCTTTGCGACCTGGGATTACTAGCTTCAGAGAGATTTTTTCATTAACCGTACTTCGCGCTTGCACTTTTGGTTCAATCAAAAAAAAAGGTCTGCTCTCCCGTTGCCATTTAAAGGAACCCTTAACGGCCTCGCCCTTAGCGGCCTCTATTACCTGGCTACCAAAGAAAGATATGAAAAACCCATTCCTTTGCGCCCTGGAATCCGAGCTTACTGGATCCATTGCCCTTAGCGGCCTCTATCAATTTCCGCAAACCTTCCAACAGCAGGGCAGGTGCTTTTAAGCGGCTCCTTTCCCTTCCTTCGAATCACTGAACTCAACTATACCGGGAAATAGAAGGTTAACAACCACCATCAGAGGTTCCTACCTTCCCAGCTCTACCAGGAATGGCTTGCTCTGTCGTTCAACTCCTTGCCTACCCCTTTTTTTTCGTCCCTGCCCATCTGCTTCGGCTATTGGTCTAGAAATGGCTGCAAGAGACTGCTCTGTGGGCCTAAGAACATCGGCTCTGTACAGGACTAGTACGTGGGAACATAAAATGTACTTGCTCATCTACTAGGAGCTTAACACCCTAAACTCATAGTCTTGCTTCGACTTTCCGAAAAGTCAGGTACGTAGCCGAAACCGAAAGTCTTAAACAGCCTTCCCCACCAACCCTTCCTTCTGGTTTGGCTATTGAATCTGACTCGATCCATTTCTTTTCACTGGTAACAGCAAATGTACTAGCTCCACTAAAAGCTCTAACAGGTGCGGAGCGAGCTCTTAATTCCATAACAGACCTTGGTCTTTGTCGCTCTCCGTTACTTTGACAAGTCAGCTCATTCGCCTTCTTATCTAGAAGCCTGGACTCCAACCCATCGCTTAACGCTCTCTTTCTTCTATTCGAAATAACCTCCTATTTATGGAATATTCCTGGGGCAAGAAGGTTTCTAACCTGTAAACCACTAGCTACGCAACCATTGCTTCCTAGCAGCTCTCTTACTAGCTGATGACTACCTTCCTAGGTAAGTAAACACCTCAACGACTATCTTGTCTTCTAATACTAAAATAATACTATTTATCAACCCTCAGTAAACTTCTTCTCGCTTTACGCCCTCGGATCACAGCCTTGACTCCACGTAAACCGAATGGCTTTGAACCGTACTTGGCGCTTGGTCACTTCCTAGCTACTAGCCTTCTTACTCGTTCGTTGCACTCACTGCTTGCTTTCTTCCACTAATATACGAAATTCTTGCTATTATTGGAATATTACGGCGTTGAGACTTAAACAGCCTGACATTTAAGACTCAACTCTTTTTTCTTCATTTTCATTTCAATCTGAGGAAGATTGTCCAGTAGACAGAATCTAGTTGTGGTTCCTTACCGCTACAGAAGAGCTTAATTGCGTGGGTACGAAGGCCCTTAGGTCAGCGTCAGCGTCCATGGTATGTACATCTATATATAGTTGAGGGGGGACAAGACAGCTTACGGTGAAGAGGGAAATACAATACCCCAACCCCATTTCAACCTCCATTTTCTTTCCATTTTGATCCGCTTGACCCGCTTTGGTTTAGTTTGTCCTGACAGGCGAAACTATAAACATTTCGTCAAGTGTCTGCCTTGCGGAGCTAGATTCCGCTTTCACAGAACTGAGTTGGTCTTGCCGACCTTAACTACACTTCCCCGGGAGAAGATGGATTTATTCTCTTTTAGAGATAACAATTCTTATTGGTTGGATCTTTACCAACATAGGAAGAAATAAGAAAGAAGGTGTAGCGGTCAAGGGACGAGACGAGAGAGACCACACTGACTAACAGGCCTTATAGACTGCACCTAATCGAAATACCTGAAGATAGAAGAAAGTGAATTATTCATGAGTATACAGAATAGTATTTGCCTCCGTAATCTTGCCACCAATGCATGGAACTGGTTCATCACCTGGAGAGAGAAGGATTGGGTCTATATTCATCTCAAGTTTTTTATTTACTGAAAATATCAAAAGCATTGTTAGGATCAAACTCGCTTTCAAGTTTCAAGTTGGATCTTGCCGGGTTTCACTCCTACATAAAATAAAGAGAAGGGGGAAGGGCTTTCAAACCAATATCACATCTATCACCGGGGTTTATGCACTCCCTGCTGATTCAATGAGCCCTGTCCTCATCCTGGTTGGGAAACCTCCCCGATCCATATCCATAGTAGGATCTCTTGAGTGGGCTTGGCTATCTCCTTGGCTGCTGGATCGGGCGGGAGATATGGGATTCGTAGATAAAAGACCGGTTACGCATTCAATACCATCGGTTATTCCAGCAAAAGTCAATCCAGTAACACCGGTTACGAAGATTTTTTAAAATCCCTCCTGTTGCAGCGGCAGGGAGAAGCGGATAGGCTGACATGAAAGAGTTCGCCAAAGAAGAACACCGGTTACGAAAGCAAAGGATATTCATTGCAAGGGCAAGGCAACAACAGGTATAGCAAGATGCCTTACCTTAGGCAGTATCTCAGTGAAGTTAAGACTTATATGCCAGTAGTTTAAAAAAATGATTCTTATAATTCATAAGTCATTTCTAAAGAATGATTCGATGATGTAACAGCGGAAGAAAGCCAGGAAATTGAATAAAGATAGACTAGACTCTCCTAAGAGAAGCTATTCTCACAACCTATCTCAAAACAGAATAGAAGATCACATGTCCCGGAAAGTACTCCGGAACTCACTCTCAAGACATTCCCTGAAGTCAAACTCTCTTCCCGGACAGTGACAGGAAGTGAACTCTATCTCCTATCTCACAACATAAGATTACTAAGACTAGAATCTGAACTCTATTCCTGAAAGTAAGTGATCAGACATAGACTCCTACTCCGGACATTGAAGACAATCAGTCCGGTAAGCTCTTGATAAGGGAAAGGGTACTGGCTAATCTTGAATTGAATGGATACAGTCGATCTGCCTACCTTTCTTGATCAAAGACTGGCACTAGTGACTCAAACTCAAAGATTGGGATATCCGACCGAATGGCACTAATAAGGTAGCACTTTTGCCCCTATATGGAGATCCACTATCCTATCCTGATTAGGAAGGGAATCTTTCCCAGGGCAGTTGAATCCACTCTTTATTACTTGACTGTCGGAACTGCTAACAACTAGAATGGATTGGCTTCCACTCTGGTCAGATTGTCTTCTCCGGGAAGGAATTGGTTACACTACTTGTATTGGTAAGCTCTCCCAATCTTGTCCGGAAAGCTGTTGAACTTCAGGTAAGAATCTATGACAGAGCAGTTCACTAAGGGAAGAGGTCCATTGCCAGGGAGACACTCAATTTCCTTCTTCTCTAATTTGAATTCTAAGTTGTAACCGTTGCTGGAATGTTTGATTGTTCATCCGGAGAATTCTTGTGTCGATTCTTTGCTTTGATTTGAAGTGCTTGTTCCTTTAATGCCTTTTCTACTTCTATTTAGATTAGAAGAAAATAGTCGTCACTTTTTGCTTCTTAGCTGCATCAGCTTGTCAAACTCTCTCCCCTTCACAAGCCAAGTCCAGGGAAATGTCCCATTTCTTTCATCATATGAGCCGGTCACGTAATGATTTGCATACGGATCCAAATCCAGAGACACCATTAAGAAAGTGGAACCCGGTGATGACCCGACTTCCGATACAACCGGAGAGACTTCCTATTTTGACTTGTCAATCTAGGAAAAGCGGAAGGACTACCGCAATCAGAAAAAGAGAAGGCAAGCAGAGCAGAAGTAGTTCGCAACAGCAAATATCGATTAGCCAACAACTGGGACAACAGAAAGAGCTGCTAGATTCTTTAATAAGCCGGAACCAACAAAGTTGCATTGACCAAGAATAAGAACTGGAGGAAGCACGCCACCAAGGCTTGCCTGACGTGGAAAAAAAAGTACTATTCTATATTATCCACCTTTAGAGTTAAAAAAGTTCCCCGTAGAACGCGAGCTGGTCTCGCATCCCGCCAACGAGATAGTGGGGTCTGTGGATTCCCCGTGCTATCTTTCCTTCCTATTTAAGAACCATAGTTTGAGACTCTTGATCCCTTTACTAGAGAACATTTGGGGCTGACCCACCCTTCTCCCCTGCTCCTCAGACAGATCATATAAGTGATTATATAAATCGTCCAAGAGGGTACGATCCGTTTCATTATCCAGTCCCATCCAATCGAGGAGCTGGTCAGCTATTTTGTTTTTCCTTTTGACGGCTCCGATTTGAAGAAGCAAACGAAGCTCTTCGCTCACCCGTTTCCTCTTCGTTAGCAGGTCTTGGTCGTCGAGTGGGGGGGCGGGCTCCGGCTCCTGCTCATGAGCAGCAGGTTGGTTGAGATCTAGCTCCGGTTGGGGGGTGCTGTTTAGATCGAGAACCGGGCGTCTCGAAGGGCCGGCATCGCTTCCCCCGCCTCCAATGGAAAGAGGGAATCCTTCCATTGAAGACAGAAGAAAATCGATCCACTCGGCAAAGAAAATAAAGAAAGGGGCGCCCCAAGTCAAGCCCCAGTTGAAAAGCAAGGGAGTCATATAAACTAGGATTAGACTGACAATCCCTCCTTTTCTCATAAAAAAAAAGAAGCATCTACGGAAAATTGGAAACGCCGAAGTGAGCTGTGGCTTATAAATAGGAAGATGAGGAGATAATGGGCGAAGGATATGCATGATATTAGGTTGATTTCAAGACTTTAGATCTAGTAACGAAAGAATTCAAGACTTTAGTATAGAGAACTTTGACTTTTGTTGGTTCTTTACCAACTAACAGCATGGGACGCACAGGGCCTTTTCTCTCTATATAAGAAAACAAAATGGTTGACCAAATGCATGCTATTTAAGCATCTCTTGCGTGTGGGCCATTCTTTCTATTTTTGAAACAATGAGAACGTCGTGCAGATGCCCACGGAGCGGTGCCGTAGGCTGGCTGGTAAAAGAACCGGGAAGTAGAATGCCTCTAGTAACTTCAAGCTCTGCCGTCACTGACTTTTTTGGCCGTGTGACAGTCTGTCTTCCTTACGTTATGCAAGGAGAAAGAACACCGCATGCTGGCTGCCCGTCTGAAAGATCCAGCTAAAGCGAATATCATCTTCCTCGAGGGTGGGGGACTCTCTATTTAAGTTCGTCACTTTAAGGCAAGGACAAGAGCTTCGGTGTAAGCACCAGTTCGAACTCTGACTTAGAATCCTACCTTATCTTCTATCTCTCTCAAAAATGGGTATTGAAGTTGGATCCAATAAACCACTAAAAGCTGACCCTCATAAGTGATAAGTGTGAAGATTGAATCCTGTAATATATTTCATATATAAACAAAAGAAAAGGGAACTGGTTCACGCATTACGGGTGGATTCCTGTTACCTCTCTAAATGGAAGGGGGCACTTCACCGAATGGAGCGATAGGTCAAGGAGATAGGTAAAGTATGGAAAAAACCGTCAGCTCAAGTCCTAAGAGATACCCAACTGGGAGCGGAGAAGACCAGAGATGCCAAAAAAGAAAGGAAAGCAAAGCGGAGAGGACAAAAGCCAGCACACACTCAGACAGGAGAGCCCAACGAGAGGGAACAGGTAAGAATGAAGCCAATGCTGGTGGCTCAGGAAGTTAATCAGAATAGGCTTTTGTTGGTGCGACTATGAGCTTCTGGGCCTGTACGATTTCCTGTCCGAAAAGGGAATCCTCTACAGGAAGGGCTGAGGCCTTAAGCTCACTCACTCACGGTACACGATCCAATTGCTCATAAGGGCCAGGATTTTGCTCCCAACGGGTTCGGAGGCACGGCTAGCTCCCCGTCCCTTGGAGAATCACACCTTCCTTTCTCTTCTGCCGCTTTGATCTCTTGTGTTGTTGCCAGTGTGAATTTTCAATTCCGACGTGACTCATCTATCAGCTCTGGGCGAACATCAATATCTGAGAATTTCGTATTGAGCTCATCTCGCCTTGTGGCTTGCAGCTCTTTTTCTATTTGCCTTATATTGAGTTAGGTTAGTGTGCTTTGCATGGCATGCTTTTCTCGAAGCTCATATTGAAGCTCGTCGGTCAGGTCAAGAAGTTGCATTCCGCTAATCTAACTTGGTTCGAGTGGCTTGGTCCTCTGACAAGGACATCTCTTTCTCTGCTTTAGTCCAAAAGTCCATTAGGTCATGACATTTCTTTGATTAGACGATTATCAGGTGATCCAGAAGACCTAATCAATGAGATGTAGGGCTGTAACGTTCTTTATTCCTTCTTCATTTCATGTTCTAACTCCCAGTAATAGAATGGGAGACCTACACTTGACACTTGCTATCTTGCTTGATGGCTTTCTTTCATATTGGTTTCAGGTTCATACTCTGCTCCCTAATCCGGAAAGATCGTATGTCAATGTTCCCAGGGTAGGAACTTCCACTTTTCTTAGTCAGAGTATGGGCTTCGGTTCGGGACTCTGAATCGATCAATCGAATGGGAAAACTCCTTTCCTCTTTCTTTTCCCGCTTTCTCCCCACTCCTGCTCCTGTGGCTTACCTTCCGGGGGCATGAAATGAACCCTGAGGTTACTCTGTCCCTGGCATCTCTTTCTTCCCCTTCATCTTCGGGCAAGCGGGTGAACTCATGGCCTATTCCCTATTTGATTCTCTAGGCTAGTGGTCCCTTTTTGTCTGGCCATGAATAGTGAGTGGGACCTCATGTTCGCCGGGTAGCCATTCCTCGGCCTCGGGCATTCACTCTTATCTTTAGCTGTCCGACCCCTCTTTTCTTTCCTTTGTCGGAGATGACTTTTTGGATTGCTGACCTAAGCTCAGACAGGAGAGAAGGTGATAATTATCAATCGAAGGCGATCACTACTATCATGCTTTCTTTCCTTCCCTTGGGATAGCGCCTCTGTTCTTCATAGCAGGAACTCTTCCTTTCCTTCACCCGGCCTCACGGACAGATATGATAATTGCATATAGAAAGATCAGGGTCCGTAGACAGAAGCTCCCGAAAGGAAAGACGGTCCTATCTTCACTACTACAGTACTACTAGTACAATTAGTAGTTTCTACCTGCCGCGGTCGCAGTCCTTCCTTCCCACACGAATGAACAAGGTTACTTGAAAGATAGTTCCACTCGTTGAAAGAAGAATTTTGAATAGTGGTAGTTTCTGCCCTGACTTATAGACATAGAAATGCGTTTGTCATTGGTACCTGTCTTTTAATTGTAATTGGCTATGGGCCCTACTATTCAACATACTGGTAGAAGGGAATTTCTCCGCGGATTTTCTGAACCTGATTAGCCTGCTCCTTAGCCTTCTTCTTGAGCCTTGGAATAAAGCCTTACTCTAGCTATCGTTGAACTTCCCAACCTTTCGTGATCTAACTACAAGGCGTGGGATAGTCTCACCCATTGGGCTCTTGTTACTTTATCTTAGCATCTTACTCTTATTTGATCTCTTAGTAGCCTGTTAGCCAGTCTTAGGAAACCCCTAAGCTTTAGAGTAGACCTAGGGACCCCTTCTGAATTTAATAGGTGAGTCAGTCAGTCTGCATACCGATCAACCGGCCCCAAAAATCATTTTTTAGAAAGTGGTGGTTTACGCGCATCCAGTTCTTGGAATAAGGGAATATCATGGAGTGGCAAAAAAGGGGATCTTCTAACTGCCATGCCTAAGATATCTTTTCTTCCCAAACCAGTCTGGTCAAAGCAACGGGATGACAGATCGACCTAAGATGGGAACTGCTTCGAAGCCCAAGGTTAACTCAGTTCAAATCAAAAGGCTTCCGTTCAGCCCGAAAAAACTACCTAGCAAGGAGTGAAAATCCACTGAGAGTGTCCTCGTCAAGGAAAAGGCTCACTACTAGTTGAAAGAAAGGCGGATGAAAGAATAAATAAAGAAGAAGAGGTGCTTTTAAGCGGAAAGACGTTAAACACGAACCGCCAATGCTGGAACCGCACCCCATAGCGGCACCGTTTGCCATTCATTCATGAACTGGCACTGGCTTTCATCTAGTTCCAACGATTCCTACTTCTAACTACTCTTATTTCACACTTTCCAGGAAATTCCAAAACCCCAGGAAGAAAGGACACTAAATCAAGATCTATTCTAATTGAAGGGGTGCAACGGCACCCTAAGCTCATTGGGCTTGAAGAACAGGAAAGAGCGGACTAGCTAACCTAACTGCAAAGAAAGCAGTCGCAGCCGGGGATATCTTTTTTTTTGCTGGATGTCGTGTTTGCGCACCAACAGGAGTCGGTCCTTGGTTGTTTCAGTACATTCAGTTCCAAGTCAATTCAGTTCGCGTAGTTCGTAGCCATCGTTCGAGGAAAGAACCTGTATTACACTACACGGATTCATTAACTTTCAATCTGGAAATTCCTACCAAGCAGATTCCTTTGCTTTAGGGCAGGAATAGCGGGATAGTTAGGGGGCTTGTCTTTAAGCAGACTCTCTTTGCAGTCTTACCCGATCTAAATCTTCCCGCGGGACCTTCTTCTCCTTCCATTGAGGAAGAGCCTCCTCGGGTCCTAAAAAATAGAGGACCCCCTTTAATTTAAGTCGGGAGGAGCAGATGGCCGTCAAAGCCCTAGAGGTCTTTGAGCGCCAGATGCGAAAAAAGGTCTTTCTGATGCTGAAACCCTTGGGTTACGCGGTGGAGAGCCCCCATGACCCTGATATTGATCGGGTTGTATCGATTTTCCTCGTTAATGTCGAATCCCCTGAGTTTAGGTTTTATCTGCATCATATTGTTAACCCAAACTCCGACCTCTTTGCGGCCTTTTTAAAACAATGGGAAGATTTCCATTATCCGCCAAATGGGCCGGGGATCTAGGCAGGGGGAGGAGAGAGGGGAAGATGGTCAGAAATAGAAAGCTATTGGACATCAATGGTATTGGACTTATTCGTATTCTATTCTAGTTTTTAGAGGTAGATGTGGCCTTTCATTCCTTAGCTTAGGGAGTGAGAGGGCTAAGGGGAATGGGTGGGTGGCCCCTTACGCGCTTTTTTAGGAGGAGTTCAGTGTAGTCGACGGAAGCTCATATAGGAAACGAAACTAAGACCTATGGTGCCATATAAGATAAGCATTTCCAGATCGGGTAAAGATTTCGAGATTAGAATTGAGTGAGGGCAGCGGTTCAGCTTTAGGTCTCGGTTCAGGTGCTGGCTCAAGTACTGGTGAAAGTACCTGAAGGTGACATCGGCAGGAGAGGCTCCAGCACTGGTTTGTAAGGGTGAAGTCATCATAAGTGGTTGACTGGGCCTAGGAACGACCGTCGGGGCCCGCGAGCTTTTAAGGCAAATTCATCGTTTTTCGCTCGTGTTTCATGCGTGCCTGTATGAATTGCATAAGTCATTGTGTTTTGGCGGTGGAGAAGTACAGAAGTGAACAGTGTGTTAGTATTTAGTTGTGCGAAGCATTGTTGACAAGACTTACTCAACTCACTGCTTTCACCTGCTTCCGGTGACAACTACCACTCTCTTATGAATGGGAGAGTAGAGTACCAAGACATAGGGGTTGGCCAGCGAAGGCGGTTTCTTTAGTACCAGATATACGTATTTCGAATTCTTTTCATGGCAGTTCGCACGAAAGATAAGGAAAACTGAAAAGCTTCTCAAACCAGAGTAGGAATTCGATCAATTGCTATCAATGCCAGGAGGCAGATCAAGATTCATGGGAACGATAACCTTTTCCGAAAAGAGTAAAGCGAGAGATAGGATAGATGAATAGGTTTAAGCCTTTATCCGCTTGGAGGGATGAATTTCAAATTTTTAAGGCTTCGTTTTTCTCCGGCAAGCAGCTAGGGAAGCATTTATTCCCAAGCGATAGGGCTTGGAATTCATATTGATGCCTTAGTCCACTCCGAGATAGAAAGATACCAATAATGGAAAAAGATATGCTCTCCAACAGTAGGTTGATCAGTTACTTTCGGTAGGGACGGGAGACTGCCACTGATGGGAAGGCGATAAGAAGCCTGAAAGCGATTCTGACACAAGATACGATGACAGGAAGGGAGTTCGATCAGAAATAGACAGAAAAAAAGGCTGCTAGGCTCCTTTCTTTCTCATAGGAGGGGTTCGCATCCAACCCTTATCGATACCCCTCGCTAGGACATTTAAGTGAGTCGGGTTTCGATCCGGCTCCGAAATGAGGCGGTGTTACCAATGACTCGATACTCCGCTGCTACCGAATGAAGTTCGTCCTTCCCCCCTTTCCCTATAATAAAGTGCAGGCCCCCGTAGATAGATGTCCCATATAGCCCCTCCTCTCCGGGGTTGGGTCGAAAAAGAATCGAATTGGGTTGAGAGGAGTTTCTGAACCGGGGAGGATGGATGAATTAAGATAGTGAAGATGGTATAGTTGGAACTGAACCCAACTAATGCGAGGACCGGAGAATTAGATGGTCTTCCTGAACAGGCTTTTGATCTAATGAAGAATGACTGGAAATGGATTCCCGGGGGGGTTAGGATCACGAGATTTGAGGGAAAATGAAGAGGAATAAAGAACCTTATTAGGCTTACAGCAGGAACTCGAATAAGACCGGACTCTCTCGACGAAAAGGCCTGACAAGGGAAGGAGGTGAATACTCGAAAGCCAAAGATCTCTTTCGTCTCGTCCCGTCAGTAAACATTACTTTCTTCTGGCCCGAAGTCCCTTAGTTGAGTGCCGCTTTGAATCTGAAGGAAGGCAGTGGGAGATACTTCCTGAACCGAGTGAGGTATAGACAGATTAGATTATACCACTGTGTTGTGGCGAGACCGAGACTAGAGGTTCTAACTCGAAACCCTAAGAGAAGAGCCCCCACTATACTAGTTTCCCCCCGAGTCAAATCTATAAGACTTTCATATCATCTAATAGACTATACTAGCTACGTTCATCTACTCCACTCGCTGCCGGAGGACAGACAGATTATACTCTAGCTGGAACGAAGGTACGAGCTCTGCCCCCGAACAAGACAAAATGAAGAAGAGGCCGAACAAGCAAAAAAGGAAAGAGGGAAGGAAAATCCCACTCAACCTTCTTCAACATTCGTTCGGATACTCCTTATGACTATGATTGCCCCCCAAAGAAAGGCGTTCATACCAAGCCAATACACCTACCCATCTATCTATTGCGACTACTCCCCTATTATGGGGTACTCGAAGACCGTTCAACACACGAACTAATAGAAAGGGAGAAAGCTCAATCGAATGGACAACCTTAGCCCCAGCGCGAAAGACAGGATTCGAAGCCGCGGTACAGATAATCAAACTTTCTGGGAGATCCCAGACTTGCAATCAATCCCGATGATTATTATGCGGAAACCAGCTAAATCAGATCCTTCGGTCCGGGTCTCCTTCTAAGAAAGCAACCAACTCTGTTAGCAGTTAGCTTTTCGATGAAAGAATCTTTTATTGACTAGGATAGGTGGCTCGGAATTCTCTTTCCCGTTCCAAGAAAGCACGACTCTCGACTTAGGTCTGGCCTCAGGTTGGAGACAGGTGGAATGATGAAGCAGACGACTTTTTAACCTCTGACACCGGAATGTGACCTTCCTTCGTTCGACGCCGACTCCCGATTCAAGGCGACGAGTCTTTCAACTTTGACAACGGGGGGGGCTACCTTTGGACTCAACTCTTAGTGGAATTTGCCTCATAACCTGACTTGATTGATTCACCTTGGTTATGTAACCACTAAAAGAGGTGGTCGAGGCCTGACTTATTCTGTTCAGGCTTGTGAGAGTTCAATCACGCTACAATCAGACGATTTGATGCCGGTGCAGATGAATTTTCTTTATTATAGTCTGATCCGCTAAAATAGTCTTAATTCACCGGATATGAGAAAGAAATGAATGAAAGAAGAGGGGTTTACGAAGTCCTTCAAGTTGATTGAAGGTCTGGGCCAAGCAAAGGCAAAAAGGAAGGCTTCTTCCCTCTCCTGTCTGGGAGTAAGATAAACCTTGCCTTCCCTGGATACTGGTCCCAAGGTAGGAGTAGCGGCTTAGTTAGTGCACGAAATAAATGTGACTTTTGGCACATAAAGGTCCGTATTCGGTCCGTCAATGGCTCTTTCTCCGAGGCCAGAGGTAAATATAAAGGGTAACGGCCGAAAAAGATAAATATCAATATTGTATTCGAATAGCCTGCTTCCCCCCATTACTCAAGGGGGAAAAGCTTAGCCTCCCATTCTTTCATTCTTTCAACAATAGAGGACTAAAACCTGCTGCCTATTTCCTCTGAGCTCCTTAGCTTGTAGTTATCATTACTCTCCTAGCTGCGAGTAGGAAGCTATCGGAGTAGCTTCCCATCTTTCGACCAAGATTCGCAGTTCTTTCTTATTGTAAAAGGGTCCGCTATCCTATTTCATATCTAATATAGGAAGTCAGTGGTGGCATCTCCTGCTTATGCCTGCCCTTTTCCTCTTCCTTCGCTTCGCGTCTGCCTATCTATTATGAAGTAGGGAAATCAAAACCTGGGTACCACCCGCCAGTTGCTAGTAGGACAGCTCTTAGAGGAGCGGCCATTTTGCAAAAAAGGTAGGTTGCTGACTTGAGGACTCTAATAAGCTGTAAGACGGCGGGAATATGCAAAGAAAGGTTTAAGAATTCCACAGTCTTGAGGCTATCCTATTACGAAATTTCGTAAGTAGTATTCGAAATCGCTTCGTCAGATATTCGGGAACCTATGGTCGCTTAACGATTCGGTTAGCCGCCTAGTATGGTAGTTGTCCTGAGGTTTGGTTAGCCCAGGCGGATGCAGTTATGTTCCTAAAGGCCGCGGGCTGATAAGAAGAGCGAGGGGAGGGTTTTTTGCTAAAACCCCTGGATTTTCTAGCTTAAAGCTTTACGAAATCACAAGAACAAAGAATAACATGATTCAGAGAGATAACCTGGTCTTTAGACACTCGCCCTACTTCTAAGGATAGATAGAAAAGGTTGGGGAGTGCCAGATGCGGAAGCAGTTCCAGTCCCAGCTGCTGAGGTGGCGTAGTGACAGGCGAGAGCAATAACAACAGAAGCAGCGAAAGATCCTGCAGTAGTATATTAGGTTGTTTGCGGTGGAATAGATTCAAGCGTCCGGGCCAGTAGATCCAGAGCAAATAGGCGTTGACTTAGTTGCTTTTTTTTGCAGTGGATTCTAATCCCGATGTTGATCCGACGCAACTTACCGGTGATAGTCGCAGCACCTGGAGCTTTCAAGGGAGGAGTTTCAAATTTCAAGCAATAAGAAAATAGGCCTTTGCCGCTTCGGGACTGCTTACTTACAACATTTCGAACACTATCAGGCGATGATGCGGGTGAGGAGTTAGAAAAAGTCAACAAGGAAAGAGCCGAATCGAAGACTTTGAATGTTTACGGAAGGATTTCCGTTCCGATCCTCAAAGAAAGGTCAGTCACTTCACTAAGAAAGGAAGGAACAAAATTACTTGTTGCTGGGTCAGCTCTTACAATTACAAGAAGTCAAGCAAAAGCCAATGGCGCTAGGCCGGCAAGAAGATAAACTCGATCCGATGCCCTTACCTGACTCTGATTCGAACACAAAACTCATTCCTTGCTCCGTGGGCAGGAGCGAACCGGGGAACTCTAACAAAGAACGTGAGGAAAGGCACTGCCGCTGACTAAGATGATAGGCGCATGGGGACAGACCTTATACTCGTACTCCCAACCGTCAGACCAATCAACCATAAGACACTAGGCGATGGTCCCACACAGGTAAAGCAGCTACAAGAACTAAAAGAATAAGAAAAGGGTTTTACAGCGCCCCTGACACATCAATTTGAATCCAAAATCGAAAAGAAAGACGTTCCTCACCCTCAAGACAAAGAAAGCTGTACGTACGATACGATTAGGATCAGAGAAAGAACTGCTATGAACTCAGGCACCCATAGAAGGTTTTCCTGAACACGGGATCTAAGCCTAAGCTCGTTGGACTTGCTAAGGGAACCTCTTTCGAGATGCGAAGAATAGCCCTAGTCTGATAGCGGAGTTAAGTGGAGGAGAAGAAAGACAAGCAATACAGAAAGGAAGAGCTCCAGGGTTTGTTTAACGAAGATAATGGCTCACCATCACAGGGAATCTCAAAGCCCTGACGTTCGGACGTTAAGTTGCAAAATCTCGCTGATGTAAGGATCAATGATGGACACAGCGAAATTAGGATAAGCAACAAAAGAGACGGCTCCGTTTGCCAGAGATGGCTGTACTCTTGCGAGCATCGTCGAAGGTATTCCACCGACGATCTAGGACACAAAGAATGCTGCCAGTATTTACGCCGACCCTAGTAAATGGGACTGTATTGCTTTCATTGCGCCGATGGAATAAGAATTCAATGGAGGACTTCCTGGTGCGTGCCAATCATTCAAGTGGTGATCTGGCATCGTGAGCAGAAGTCGATAGAGGAACGAGGCAGCCGAGACCGACTCACCGCCACATACTATCCCAAAAGCTTTTATCTAAAAAACCTGCAGTTCCTCATGCACCTTCGCCTAGAGTCCATCAAAGGCCAGCTCCCGCACAAATCTCCTCTGCCCACTCTAGATGTTGCACTTTCAGAGCTTATAGCTTAAGAGATTCGTCTGCGAGTCCTGGCTACCTCCTGTTAGTGTAGCGGCATTCCCTTGCCGTCGTGTTTCTGGGTTTCGTGCCACATACATTGTCGTTTCTGACGGGCGTAGAAGGACCTTCCTTCCAACCAAGAAGGCTCTATAAGGGGAATCAAAACAGAATAAATATAGATATGTTATAGTATAAGTTTCCTTATCAAACCAGTAGCTTCAATTTCTAGAACAGCAAGGTAAGAAAGGGATAAGATTTCAGTGCCAGTGAGTAAGGAAGCGGGTGAGCTCTCAGGTCTGGGAGTTAAGGGCTAGCAGTACTACCTGTAAAAGGTAAGGGCCTACTAAGCTAGTTCAACAAGAAAAAGTAAACTAGATAAGTCAAGCCAAGGGAAGTTCTCTGCCAGCCAGGTTAACCTCTAGCCATCGAGCTTAACTTTTCGAAGTAGGAGTAATATCATACCTTCCGTAGTCTACTGTTCAAAAATCGTGAGTTCCCAATACAGGAAGTGCTATTTCTTGCTTAATTTCTTTAAAGTCAGCCAAAAAGCGAGCAGGGTAAAAGAGATTCGGATAGGAGCGATTAGTAGAAGGCGAATGAATAAGGTCCCTTCGATTGAAGTCATATCCAGTTGAAATCATAGGGTAAGCCTCGTAAGCCATTGTAGAAGGAGTTTCAAGTAATCCAGTTGGCGCGAAAGTTGCAGTTGTTGTCTTGGATAGCCAGTTCTAGGACAAGCCAATAAGCTCTTAAGCTCGGAGATTTGTCAAGTTCGTTTATCTCCAGCCAGCCCAGAGAGACTCTCTTGCCATTCAATTCTCGTTCTTTCATCCCTGCTCGCTATTGAAAGCCCTTCCAATAACACCATCAGGTTACAGTTATTTCCTTCCTCGAAAGAGTTCGAGTTTGATCTAGTATGAGATCTAATTACAGCTGCTAGTTTCGCCTCAAAAAAGTCTTACTTAATCCCCCTTCTTCTAGCCATCCAGTTGCAGTGAGAATTGCCAGCCATATAGTTTTAGAAAAAAGGTAATCTCCTCTAGTGTAAGTGCCAGTTTCCAGCCTTCTTCAGCCATGGATAATGGCAAAAACTGGACAGTATTCGAAGGAGATGAAGAAGATTCTGCCACTCTGCCAGAAATTGGTTTGGATGACTTACAGCCAACTATTTCTTGCATCAAACAGGGGAGAGGTCGGCCATGATCTAGCCCTTCGACGGATAGTTCGTCATCCGAAAATGTGATGATTTTTGGCGCCAGGTATCATTTGACTCATTGTTTCGGGGGAAGTTTGTTCAGGCACATGCGCGTTTCGAAGCACTCAACTAAACGATTCCCGATGTGCTTCCAATGTAGAAAGTCGCTCGGGGTTCACTCAAAGTGCGCTACATTCCTACTGAGCACCAGGTAGCAGATGTCTTCACCAAATCTCTGTCAACATCTCGCTTTGCCTTTTTGTTTTGCGTGGCAAGCTTCACATTGGAACCCCACGTTCAGCTTGAGGGGGCATGTTAGACATGTTTCTGTTGGAATTGATGGAGCGCTTTCTGGCTCAGCTGCAGCCTCATTAGAAGAAGGTTCGTAATCGACTACCTCTTCTTCTAATTGCTGGCTTCTCGTTCCTTCAAATTCTGCGTCAGTTGTTTTAGGGGTTCGCAAACTTGGCAAACTACTTCTTCTGCCAAGCCATCCACCAAGTCCTGTGCAGTTTTTTTGAGGCTGCCTATGAAAAAAAGGGGGAGTTCTTTGAACAGTTCTTAGCGGATAACTTAGATGGCTATATCATTGAAAAGCTCATCGACAGCATAGTCTACCCTATACTCGAGGTCGGCATCAAAAAAAGGAATTTTTCCCGCTCGGATTTCGATTTCCGCAACTTGGACAATTATGTGGCTATCCAACGGCACGCCTATATCTTTGATCCATGTAGCTTGAGCTCAAAACATCGATCGTTTTCCCGGCTCTTAACCGACTTAAAGAAGGAGGAGAGCTCCGTAAACTCTCAAGTAAAGCGCGATATTCAACGCAATCTTCTCGATTTCATTTTACAAGAATGAAGACTTTGTTCCTTCAAACAAGTAAGATCACTATTGGAATTGAGTGTATAAGGACCTTTCCATTTTCTTTTTTCGGTATGCTGCTCCGCGAGCAAGGAGTGCCGCGCACGAGCGGAGCGAAAACAAAGCAGTGGGAATTCTTCGTTGGGGGAAAATCCTTTGATTGCGTATTGAATATAGATCAATGTCTTTCTTGTTCCACTAGCTAGGACCAAATTCTCACATGTCCATTTCGTTATTACAACCTTCTTTTTTGATGTCAAAGACCAGAAGCTATTCGCAAATTCTTATTGGATCTCGGTTGTTCTTAACAGCGATGGCTATTCATTTAAGTCTTCGGGTAGCACCACTAGATCTTCAACAAGGTGGAAATTCTCGTATTCCGTATGTACATGTTCCTGCGGCTCGGATGAGTATTCTTGTTTATATCGCTACGGCTATAAACACTTTCTTGTTCCTATTAACAAAACACCCCCTTTTTCTTCGCTCTTCCGGAACCGGTACAGAAATGGGTGCTTTTTTTACGTTGTTTACCTTAGTTACTGGAGGGTTTCGGGGAAGACCTATGTGGGGCACCTTTTGGGTGTGGGATGCTCGTTTAACCTCTGTATTCATCTCGTTCTTTATTTACCTGGGTGCACTGCGTTTTCAAAAGCTTCCTGTCGAACCGGCTTCTATTTCAATCTGTGTTGGACCGATCGATATACCAATAATAAAGTCTTCAGTCAACTGGTGGAATACATCGCATCAACCTGGGAGCATTAGCCGATCTGGTACATCAATACATGTTCCTATGCCCATTCCAATCTTGTCTAACTTTGCTAACTCCCCCCTCTCAACCCGTATCTTCTTTGTTCTGGAAACACGTCTTCCTATTCCATCTTTTCTCGAATCTCCTTTAACGGAAGAAATAGAAGCTCGAGAATCCATACCAAAACCTAGTTCACTCGCTGACTCTCTTTGCATCCATGGCTGAATGGTTAAAGCGATGGATAATAGAGTGGGTTCGATTCCTGCTGGATGCACTTTGAACGTTCAGTTCAATCGCTGCTCACTTATACATATAGCTCGCCCTTATTGGGGCACTTCACTCGCTCAACACTCGTTCAAAACATCCACTCCTTCTTCACGGAAAGAAAAGGGACTTAAAATCCCGCTTAGAGATCGAAACTATAGTCAGAGTAGGCCATCCATCATCTCCGTCGAGGCCTCGTTTTACCTTCCAATTACGATCCGTCGGATTGAAACCTCCATTAGATTCGGAAACTAAGGACGAGATTACCATCGCATCGGCTTGGATGTCCCGAATGTTCTCGGGTCGCCTCATATTTTCCTTAATCTAATTAATCAGCACCGGGTGGTGATGGAGATTTATTGCGGCCTTCTCCTGTTCATCAACTCGAACCTCATTCTTCTGCAGTTGATGTTACGATCAGCCGTGCTCTTCAGGCCATCTGCCGATTGTCAGCCTGTTCAGCTGACCTAAGAGGATTCCAATCACCCGGCGCAGCATGTTTATTCTCGGCGGCGATTACAGTCTCTTTCCCCAGGTAAGACTACTCCAGAAGATCAGCAGCTCAGTTGCTTCCCTTCCAGTCGCTTCCTCAGATTCAGGATCCCTCTCTCAGGTTCGTCGATCCTCGTGAGTTTCTTATCTTGTTTAAGTCTTTTTGTCTTATCTTATGTCCCCAAAACATCGAGCTTACCTCATGTCAGTTCAATCTTCTCATGAACCTGAATCATTTGCTGAAGCCTTCAATCATTCTTGCTGGAGAAATGCTATGCAGGAAGATGCCCAGGAAAAAAAGAATAAGACGTCAGTCTCATTGCCTGCAGGGAAACAAGCCATTGGCTGCAAGTGGATTTATCAAGATCAAGCATAAAGCAGATGGCTCGATAGAGAGATACAAAGCTAGATTATTAGAACAAGGATTCCTTCAAGAATATCACGTCGAACCCCTTTAAAGATAGGGAAAACATTTTCCCCAGGTTGAAAAAATTACCACCATTCGTGGCATTCTTTCTTTGGCTGCAATCAAGAAGTGGCCCTTATTTCAACTTGACGTGAAGAATGCCTTTCAACAACATAAGGAGGGGGGATTCGCAAGAATAAGTTTCTATTCAGCCTCCTCCAACTACAGGCTTCTCTTCTCTGGTATGCAAGCTCAAGAAAGCGATTTACGTTACGGCCTCCGACAACTAAAGCAGGCACCAAGAGCTGACGAAGGGTGCCTTCTTTCAGAAATTTAGCTCGTTTTGCTTTATTTTTGATAAAGGGTTCCACTGTAGCCGTGCGGATTCTTCCATGTTTGTTCGTCGACGTCATGGTCGTTGCCTCATTCTTCTTTTATATGTTGACGATAACATTCTCACCGGAAATGACTCGCTTTTTTTTATCCATATGGATGAAGAGCTATTTGTGCATCTTACATCTGCATACCCAAAAGGGGGCGCTCTATGGTATTCAAGGGGTTTTTATGCCTTTGAGTCATCAGAAGAGCGTACTGGTTCCGCCTTACTCAATAGGGGCTTGGTAAAAAAGGTATATTGTACCCTACCTTTACCTTACCAAAGATTGAAAAAGGAAGCGCAGAAAAGACCTCCGGGTTATCAGACTTCCCGAATGGTCTTCGGGTTAGATAGTATGTAGAGATAGAAACCGGAATGGACGATAGGGGAGCTATTTGGCTGAAAACTAAAAGGGTAAATTAGTCTCTCATATAAGCCATTACTGAGTTAATTCGGGGGGGAAAGGGGTTAGTAAGCTTCTCGACCCCGGTAAGAGTTGAGTTCGTTGATCCCAGGCCAGGTCGTTGCACGGTAGGCGGCTTGGAGTAAAGGCAGTCAGGGTTGACGTCGTCGTTAAGGCTCAGAGTTGGAGTGATCTCCGGGTCAATGAAAGAGGTGAGACCGAATTGGAAAGGTTTGAAGAGCTAAGCTTTCATACTTGACCTTCCCCACGTTATGTATTCTATGATTCGAATCTCTCAATTACAAGATGAGGAAACAAAAGCTGAAATCAGAGGCTTATTTTCCGAACAAAGAAACATTATTCTATAACTGGGCCTGGGCATGCTTTCGCGATTGCTTTGTTTGGTTCTTAAATGGTGGGTCGATCAGTCTACTCGCCCCTTCGACCGGACCGAGAAAGGGCGTACAAGACTTTATTCAAGGAGATCGGGAAAGATCAATGCGAGAGCTAAAATCCATTGGTACAACATAAGAGATCCCTCCTTTGTTTGTGGGGGGGCCTGGATATTCGGAAACCCGTCTCATGCAATGCAATAAGGCGGTAATCCTGAATAACTTGCGGCGTTCGACTGATATCGACGTTCGGTTTACCTGTGCCTGCGTGGGGGAACGGCCCGGGTGCTCTTTGCCTTTATTCGAACCCGGCCGTCCGTGATGGGGCTTTTCTTCTTATTTACGATGCCATCGGCGCTTTTCCCTCTGCTTTCCGTTTGGTCAACTCACGTACTAACTCGATCATAACATAAGAAATAGGCCCCACATATTTTTGATGATATGCCACAGGAATCTCCCAAAATAATAGATAAGGCCTAGGACCAATGGCACCAGCAGATAGCAAGACCTCGCCACTTCATCATTGCATATGGTCAGCCTAGCTGAAATGGGAATCAGTCTTTCTTGTTTTGTTGTTATAATAAGAATAGAATGAATTGGTGGATAGCTTTCTATCGGTTCCAAGTCCAAGTAAAGTTGGTTTGACCATGCCCATGGCTGGATATAGCAAGTGTACAGCGCGCTCCCAACCTCTTCATAGGCCAAGTTGCAAAGTCCACAAGCAGTGGATTGAAGGACCCACTTAAGTCTATGGAAAGGTTCTCAACTTAGGACAGATTCGTCTTATAAGATTGTGAAGTTCCCAGGCCCAGTTTTGGGATTGATTTCCACCCTCACCCTGGTCAGTAAGATTAATATAGTAAGAAGGGAATTCTCTCTTGAAGGAAAAGTAACCCGAGAAAGGAGAATCCAAACCTTAGAAAGGGAAAGGGCCTATGACCAATCCACCCATAGAGAGAGGCTTTCGTCCGCTTTTGATTTAGCCATCGATAGATATTAGGAAATTGCTGGAACGTCAACCCCTCTGTCTTTCCTATGTCTTTCGTGAGAAGAAGGCTCATCAAGATGTCGTCGGATCACATTACTTTGCCTCCTTTTCTGCGGTGCTTATCTTGGCAGGGTTGGAATGGCCTTTAAAGCTAGCGATTTCGGGTGCTAGGTCCGCCGCGTCTGTGATGCGCTGACCAGACTGTGCTAGAGAAAAAAAAACCCTTCCCCCCCAAGGTCATTTGATTGAGGGGTACCCTGCGCTTGGACAAAATATGCCATACCATATAGAGCAAACTTCCCCCTGGTTATGAGTGAAATTCACTTTTTTACACCTATGTGAAACGGGATTTTTCTCATTGCAATCTTGGTTTAGGCAGGAAAAGAAAGTTCGAACGATTTCTCCCAAAGGTTACCTTCTCACTTTCCAATGAATGGCATTCCGAGGTAATTTCATTTGATTAAAGGGGCCAAGAAAAAAAAAGAGAACTAGATACCTTTCTACGATTGAGGCCCCTCCTCATTCCTATTTTCATTCGAATCCTCCTCGTAATCGGAGGATTGGTGCTTCTTTTTTTTGGGAGCCTGGTCTTTAACCTGGAGATAGAAGCCTTCCTTGAAAGGCTGAAAGCCCTTCTTCTCTCCAGCGGGGCCCGCTCTCTCCTTTCAAAACTAGGCCTCTCGGGGGGTCTAGCTGGATTGGCGCTAAGGGCCCTCATTACCATTTCCGGGGTAGCATCCGATATAGTGGGTCCTCATGATGCCCTCTGGGTCGGATTCGGGCACAAGGCTTCCCCTGCCGGAAACGGACTCTTCCCCTCTGTCCTCCCTAGGGAGCTTCAGTTCCGTAGGCTGGGCGGACTCGTCCTTCGGGGAAGTCTCTTCCGCAGGGGAAAGACATGGAGTCGCAAATACGCCGGGGCAGCAACCGGCTGCGACTCTACCCGTAGGGCAACCGGCTGCCCATCCCGTCGCGGAACAACCCGTTCCAGCGCAAGAACCCGAACCCGCCAACACGAGCCTCGGCGCACAGGAAGCTCGTCCTGCTGGCGAGGATGGGGGTTCAGCAAACGCTGCCCCACCAACATCAGACCAAGTGAAAGAATCATTGAGAGCCTTCCTGAATCAGTTTAGGAAGAAAAAAGTCAATGATTCTTTCTTGAACAATGCCGCGCGGGACCTCGACCTGGAACGGGCCACGCCCGAGAAGCTTCAAAAACTGCTGTCGATTATGGAAGAATTGTCCAATGACAGCAGAAGAAGACCAAATTCCGGTCAAAATGCGGCCGCCCAATTATATATGGATATAATAGATTGGGAAAAACAGGCTGCGTCGGGGAGTAATCACTCGTGATAGGGCATAAGGGGAGAGGACAAGGTCAAGAGGAAAAAAGAAATAAAAAAGAAAATCAAATGAATCCCCCGGTCGATAAAAGAAATACAAAAAATGTTTATTCTTGAGATGAACATCGCACTAAATAGTGCAACGCCTTTTTGTTCTTTGGCGAGAAATAAGAGCAGACATTTTTATGCGGTTACCTATAGAGTTTGGAATTAAAACTTCCGACTTTTAGTGAGTCTGAAATGGAAAGGAAAAAAAGCTGGATACGACCCTTTATTATGATAACCTTGAGTCATGCCGAAAAAAGGGCATTAACTCCTCAAAACGTTATATCTCGGATAACAGGTCTTTTCAGTTGTAGTTCCATTGTCGTGGCTACCGAAAAACACCAAGTTGGTGGGTTTCATTTCCACGCCACTGATGCTGGAGTTGTCGAAGCCTGGGCTGTCTACTATGGAATGAAGCTAGCATTGGAAGCTTTCTTTTACCGAATAGATGTGGAGACAGACAGTGTGGGAGCCGTGCTCCAACAAGACCCGAGCCTAGCATTGGACACATTGTGGATGATATTAAAGCTCTAATTTCTTCTTTTGATTTTGAAGTTTCTAATTGAATGCGGATACTCATAAGAATGGTAAGAGGGTGGCACATCAATTAGCTAAACTATCCATTTCATCATCAGGGATGGGGAAAATATGGTTATAGGAGATTCCTGAATCCAATTCCTCTAATAAACTAAGGAGTCCTTCTGTGTAAAGTTAGCTAGTGTGGATTCGCGTAAAGCTGTCAAACAACTTACATTCGCGGAAACTATTAATATTCTCGGACACAACAACCAGAAGCCATATCTTTCGTCGCTTGCTGCCAAACAACCTATTGCTATTGACAAGAGCCGGTCAATGCCATTCAATGTCCAGCCAATAACCAATCACGGAAGCAAGCCGAATCCTTAGACTTAGAGAAGGCTGGAAGAAAGGGATCATAGCGGTGAAGGAGGACGACCGGAAGCATGTCTTTACTGGGAAAGCTGCCAAATCATTCATATTCTCGGAAGCTCTTGTCAAAGGATTTCATTCCTGCAAGGTGGGCATCGAAATCCGACATAGCCATAGACCGAGCAGTGGTTTTCGCATCCTAGTGAGCAGACTCTCTTTGAAGCTCATTGAGAACAGCCTCAGACTTTCCATTCTCTTTCTTTATATTTATATAAATTCCCTCCCCTCGCCCTCATCAGAAGAGAGCTATGCCAAAACCAAAGGTGCCTACCGCTAGTGCAACTCTTTCTATGAATAGAAATCTTCCTCTACGGCGGAAGGTGAACGTCAGGGATGACTCAGCTGGCTTTAACTATCTTGTGGGAATATGTTAGGAAGGAAGAAAATCTCTCCTCGAAGAGTTTGGGCACTGCCCCACGATTTCTTTGCCGTATCCCCGTCATCTTCGCTCACATTGATAAGAGCATTATCTAACGTAAGGAGATCTGTATTCACAGGTTCAGATTGCTGAGATCGTGAGCCAGTCAGCGTCTTGCTGCTTTCTCTCGAGAGCGTTATTTGCTTTACTTTAGAGAAAGAGTTGTTTCTTTCTCGCAAGCTCAGTGACCGGCAGACAGCATGGAATGAAAGAGCTTACTTACCGAAGTTTTCTAGATGAATCATTCCCGAGGTTCTTCTTTCTTCACTAGGAAAGATCTATATCTTGCTTGAATAGAAGATATAAGTGACCCACACTTGGGCGACTAGGGAATAAGAATCTCTTTTTCCAACAAACCCGTGCTGTGAGGAAAGCCGCTTGAAAGCAGATTGCTACTGAATTTACTGACTTGCTTGCATGGGTCAGACTTCAGGGAAGAATCTTCTGAAGCGCCAAAAAGCCGTGGCACCCTTCTACAAGACGTCGAATCAGGAGATTCTTTGCAAGCCTTTTCCCCTATAGAAGATCTCCCTTTTCGAAATGCTGAAAGTTCACTTCACCCAACTCTATACCGAGCTCTTTCTTCCCTGTTTCAGGATCGCTCAGAACAACTGGCTTCTTCACTCGTTGATTCCCAGATCTAAAATGCAAACCGGCTGCTTCGCGCATCTATTCTCTCCTGGCCGGTTTGGAGACTTGAAACCTTCACTTCAGCGGTTGTGTGCCCGAAGGTGCCTTTCTTTCCTTCTTGCCCGAGTTAAGCTCACTCACGCAGTTTCGCGTTTCCTGGTTCGCTTTCTACCTTTGTTTTCGTATTAGAATCTCCTATTTCAACCGTAGTTCATGCCAAGCAAGCTTCATGCTGAAACTATCTTCCGAAGAATGTCCTGCTTCTTCCCCTCTACTGTGCGGGTGCTAAGACTAGTTTTTTCATTTTGAGCGTGGTCATAGGAGTTTTCGGAGCTCACTTTGCAGGTCAGAACTATCAGAAGACGAAAGAGAACTTATTCAGACGAATAGTGTGCCGGTGCCCCCAAAAACCCTACATTAGCAGTTCGGGTGAAATCAGACTAAACCAAGGTCGGAGAGGCCTTAGGTAGTAATTGAGATGCCTTCAATTCAGACAAGAGATGACGCACGCTTCACAAGGAGGTGACGGTGAGGAGTAAGTTAGCCTGGATTCTTGATCTATACTCAGGTTCACTTCTACTAGTTCATCGACAGTGGCTTGCCCTCTATTTTCAGCTCTTCGGGGAGCTTCTTTCACTTGGTCGTTCCCTATTTAAGACATAAAGACCGGCTTTGGTATCGACTTAAATTAAACTTAGGCACCTTCTTTAGCTTGAACTTCGACTTAGGTTTCGACTTCAGCCTCGGCATCGTTCTCTCTTTCTTATTCTTCATCCGAATCCTATTTCTTTTCTTCCTCCTTGGAGCTCCCGAACCGGATGGTTTAGTTGTTCGTGGGGTTTGCCTATATGCATGTATTTTCTTTCTTCTCTAACGGTGAAAATAGAGCCGTTTAAGCCACGAAGTGCCCTCTCTTAAAAACTTTGCCTATCGGGCTAGATAAACTTACCTTTCTCTGCCCTAGGCATGTTCCATTAAAGTAGGTTTAGGGAGGGTAAGCCATGTCAGGACGAGACATCACCATTCCTGGATCAGGCCTATCTTTGCCGCTGTCCAATCCCATGTCTACTTCATCCAATTCCCTGTCTACTGAAAGCAGGAACCATCTAATTGCAATTCCAGAGGCATATCCTTAGGAACTGATTGACCAAGGTCTTACCCTTAGCCTTAAAGAGAGAAGCCCGGCCCTATCACGCTCATCTCTTCCTTTCATTTAAACAGGCAATTGCCCACCTTCAAGCTAAAAGTCTAGTCGTATTTATTACTTATTCTTCTTCCGCCATACCCATGAGTCATTCACTCCCTAAAGAGATTGGAGAATAGTAACTAAGATAAGAGTTCTGTTTTACTATATGATTTAACGAAAAGAGGTTTATAGTAAGTGTTAGCTAATTGGCATATCTCTTTGTTGTCGATTAGAGACCTTCCTTGCCCTGCTTAGGATAAGGTTCGTCTTTCGAATGGTGTGGTGTAACCATAATGTGATGATTATTGATTTACATACAGTTAGGATAAAGAGAATAGGATAAGCCAGATTCTTCATTGTGATGAAAGCCGATATGGAACCAGTGATAAATGGTGTCCGTAGTAGTCCTAAGGGGCCCTTTCCATATGCTTCTTTTTCGTTATAGGTCATAGAAAGTAGTCAGGTAATAAAAGATGGCACTCACACTAAATGCTTGGAAGCGAGCATCCTGGAAAGGTTTGATTCAAATCACACGAAGCGAGAAAATTTGCAACCCACTACAGTTCACTCCAAAAAGGCTTAGTAAGGAGTAGCACACTCTCCTATGAAGGATTTCCCCGTCAACCGTGATGAATGAGTTAAACAGGCCCGTTAGTGACACCGTTCTGGATAAAGAGATGTGGGCTAGGATCTTTCCTTCTTTCAGGCAGCGTAGATGCTCATGGTGCGGCATACTTTTTAAAAATGGTAAAAGAAAGGAAGTTGACTGATGCTACTCCGTCTTCAGCCTAGCCCACAACCCAAGGTCTAGTCCCCGGAGTGGTTTGGCAGGAAGAAAGAGCAGCTTAGGTCAATTATTCGGAGTAGATTAGTTCGTGGCATGATCAGAGCATAAGATCCATGCATTGGTCCGGTCAGTCAGAATAGGGCTTTTCCCACCTATGCGCGAAACTGACATCATTGAGAAAATCTCTGGCCTAAACTCGATTTCCCTTAACTTAAGGAACGACCCCTGAAAGATGCCCAACCCAAAAGTAGTGGGCCATGGCGAGATCAAAGATTTCCATTTTTGACATGTCGCTATAAGGGAAATTCATGTTGACTGGCGCTATATGATATACAAACATTTTTCTAAATTGGATGCCTCTCTTTAGGGGAAATAGGAAATTCGAGACAGGTATGAAAAATCGTATGAGTAAGGAAAAGAAAAAGGATTTTCTCTCTATTCTTCGGGCGGAAGACACCAGCTTTTCTGACTTTCCCACTCTCTCTAAAACAGGAATTTCATTAAACAAGAGAGAATAGGTAAAATTCAATTCCTAGGGTAAGGAAGCTGGAACAGAAGCACCCGAAGCATACGAATCCGCTTAATCAACTGTTTTAGAATAATCTGCTGAAGCAGCTCTTTAAAAAGCATCCGAATCGGAAGCTGTTCTTTCAACATCCGCCTCAGATAAAGCAGATGAAGGAGAAGGCCTTTGGCCTGATTCCCAGAATCGAATCGAAGCAGAGGAACGTTCTCTTCCCAGAGGAGAAAAGAACCAGAAGAGGAAAAGTAGCCAACGAGCTCAGCCCTTATACGATACGAGAAGTTCAAATTGTTGTTTTTTCTAAAGAGAAAGAGGTTCTTGACCATCGATCGGAAGGTTAAGAGTGATAACACAGGGCTTTTCAAGCTAGAGAAGAAAAGTAATAAATTTAACCATTAGTTTAGTACGTAAACAAGCCATTAAAGGTAGGTTTAGACCAAGCCAGACCACGAAGCAAGCTAAGCAAGGGTGGTGGGTCAGATACGGATGGAAAGAGAGAATGCTTCCCGATCACTCTCTCAGAGAGAGAGCTATTGTACAAGGAAGCTACATACACATTTTCAAACTGAAAGCGAGATCTTGCAACCACACCCGAAGGAGCACGCAAGAATTTCATTGCGCAGCGAGGATTCGAAAGCCGAATGCTTATTAGTAGTACGAACACTTTTCCAATCCTGAAAGTCAATAGTAAGTAAATACCGAAAGCGATTAAATAATGTGATTTTCACCCTGAAAGTCATGCATTATTTTTAGAACTTCCTATGCCCGCATATTCTTAATCATCTTCGCTTATAGTAAAAGGCGGAAGGTAGGCATTAAGGTATGGGAGATTATAGTATGGCAGGTCTCTTCTTTTTCCCAGTGGGTTTAACATAGGCTTCATCTAAGAACTCTCAACCCCGTGGCATTACTGGTTTGCTTGCAAATACTTTTCGGTACTATAAAAGTCTTTTTTTATTCCACTTCTAATACGACTTGCATGTGTTAAGCATATAGCTCTTGAAGATGCCTAAGTTTACTTTCTTTAGAACGAGGACTTTTTCAAAGATCCGGAGCCAAGCCTGCGCACCAAAGCGCTAGAAGATCAAGAATCTGTCTTTCATTGTTAAATAGACTTCCAGTCTTTGGCGCTGACCTACTCGCCTTCACCTAAAGACAGAGCGTTTTAGGAAGGTTGGCGCCAGGTGTCTAAACCGGAGACATCGCACCGGAATGCTTTCCCCACCGCAGACAAGAAGACTCAAAGAAAACTATTGATCCCTTTGACGACTCTCCTCTTCATCTTCCCGAGAAGCAGATAAGAATCCGAACTGAGGAAAAAACTAAAAAAAGTCTCTCTTTCTACGATCACCTGTAGCGTCCTTAAAAGTCTTAGAAGGATAATAGTTCTATTCGCGAAGAGATTCTTGCCAACACCATTAGGAAGATGAGGGAAAGGGGAAAAGAAGTCAAATTAGCTATTTCCGACAGCTACGGTAGTAGAGAAGGAGAAGCACTACTTATGAGAAAGAGGAGTTCTCTCTTCTACTCCCGGGTATTGAACCGGGATGCTTTGGTACTAGACTGGGCGGGCGAGCCCTAATCACAGGGGGGAGAAAGGCGAAGATCCCTTCATCCTCCGACAACAAGCAGAGCCGACACCGAGGTAATTCTATTCCTTTTTAATTCACACGGGAATGACTCCACTCTCAGTCCCAGCGTGGCTTAGACTAGTAGAAGGCGTAGGGATGCTAGACCGCTGCTCAATACTGGATAATCCATGCTCATCGGTCTGCAGCAAGCACTGACTTTTAGGGGGCGGCAACTAAAGAGGTAGCGAGACTAAGCACAATTTCAGGAAGAGGCTAACGCCCTTGCCTCTAGGCTTCCTTCTACCCTTGTGCTAAAGAAAAAAAACTTCTTTCTATTATGCTCGAACCCTACTAAAGAGTGGCTTTCAGCTCTTCTCCCGTTGGTCCGTCAATTATTACATCGATCCTCGAAACCGATAGTCAAAGTATAGAGCTCGTTCCTTTCAGTCTTGAAAAAAGTAGCTTATTTGCTTAAAAAAGGGGAATCGAACTCTTCCACTACCGGGAAGACTATTTACTGACTTACTTAAGGACTGACTGATCCAGGGAGCAAAGCGTCCTTTCCAGCGCTGCTTTCAAGGTCGAAGAGGGGCTGGTTTTCTTTCTTGATAGCATGGCTTTCACGCTCACCGGTCTGGGAAGAGACTCCATGGGCACTTGGCATTGCTTCCTTTCATCCACGAGGAGGGGAAAAGTGATCTCTCAGCGGCGAAAACTCTTTGTTCTTCGGAATCCCCTTGCTCCGCACCTTCCGTTTTGTTATGACAAAGCCTTTTATTTTCGGCCTTCTTTCATTCGCTGAGCTCTGAGCTCCTCTGGCAAATCATGATGTGCGCATGCTGGCTACTCTGCTTTAGTAGTGTGTTAACTAGTAGTCCACTACTGATTAAGGATTTGGTATTTACAGCTATACATTCATTCTTTTTTCCTTTTTCGACAAGGTGGATATAGTGCGTAAGCCTCCCTCTGACGTCAGTTGACTTTCCTCTATCTGGTAAGGACTTCCACTTCTTTCCAGCTCTCCCCATTCACGCAGCCATCCTCCGAAAATCCCGGTATTCTCGTCCGGGAGGTAGCTATTCTAGAGACAAGGAGAAGGAGCAGCGCCCAAAGAGCCTTCGTGGCCGGTCACCGTTTGCCTACGATCCTTTATGATATGACTCTTTTCGGAAAGCCAAGTGTTTAGGGCCTTCAGCCTTTCCTCCTCTAGACCGTCCAATTCAACTAAGATAGCTTCAGTAAACTCGGGTGGGTTCAATTGATGTTGGAAGGCCACCCTTAGTGATGGCACAGGTAAAACTCCATACAGGTTGACCTACGACCATGATCTTTAGTCCTATAGTTCTAGTAGCTAGGGAGGGAGACTTGTCAATGACTTTGGAATAAGCTAATAAGATCGATCGGACTCATTCCTCGCCTCCTTTGCTGATGGAGCGCCTGAAAGAAGAGCTGACTAAGCCAAGAAGCTGAATAGAGAGCCAGCGGTTTGTTCTCGTCAGACATAATGTTTGAAACAGGAGATGTGCCCTCGTGAGCTCGTATCCATGTCAAGTCCCGGATTCCATAACTCCTCCCGTCACCTATGCTAGGCTAAATAGTAGTGATGAAAACGTCGTAGGCAACTACCTCTCGTCCCAGTTGCTCAGTGGTGGAGCGATCGGCTGTGCACTTTAAGTGACGTGACCGGTCATAGCGTAGGTTCGAATGCAACCTGGGAAGCCCTATTCGATTCAATGCGGCTAGTCATCAATAAATTACGTATGGAAGGGAGAAGGAAATCAAGATCGGATAGGTGGTCTATTCCAAACCCGGTAGCAGCATCTGGAGCTTAGAATCTTGTATAAAGATGTCCATCAAAGAAGCCTTTCTTTCTAAGTTAAGGTGACTCGAAAGATTCTTCCTCACACGAATATGAGATGTTTGAAACGAGACCGAGGAGTGGGTCTGAATGACAAAGACTTGTCTTTCTAACCGACGGTTCTATAGAGAGCCGAAGTTGGCAGAGGATAAGATGTCGTGACCTGACCTTCCCGCCCCTACTATGTTAACGTGTACGCATTAGTGAGCTGTCAATGTAAAGACCTCGAGAGTAAGCATCTCTAAGGGAGACAGACCTTTTAGCCTAGCCGTTAAGAGTGGCATCTACGTGAGCTTTCTATTTCTTATTATAAATGGATGGATTCTATCCTGCCTGTGGAATAGAACCAGAATAGGGGCCCTTTGTTACTGACTTTTGACTATCAGACTGACCACTACCAATTAACATTTACTCGATTCGAAAACATCTGGGCGGAAAGCCAATAGGCTTCGTTTGGGGCCTTTGACTGTGATATTGCTCAAAATCCGCTTTAAACGAGTGTCCAGTGCGGTCAACTCGTAGAGAGGCGATACAGGACAGAAAGAGACCAAATCGAACGATTACCGACTACGGGTTCGCCTATCGGCTCTTCATTTTCAAGACTGAAAGGCCTACCGGGAGATCTCACTCAGATCAAGAAGGAAGTTATATGAGAATGAGAACGCCTATCGATACAGAGCTGAGCCCCATTCACACTCTATGACAAAACTCTCACTAGCTATAGGTCAAGGAGAACTTAGGCATCAAAAGACGATACACGAGTAACAGGAGGCAGAAAAGCCCTTTCCAGATGGGGGAAACTCTTCCGGATGGACGGACTAGCAAACTTAGGGGGAAAGAGTCACACACGTGAGGTCCGTGGGGGCAGAATCCGAAATCAACAAACAGAACAAACAGGCTGCAATTGGGAATCATCTTCTATGATAAAGAATCTTTAAAGAAGGCTTTCACTCTCCTTCTGAAACAAGGTAACGAAGTTTAGAGCCGATAGGTGGAAGTCTTTATAAGCTGTGAAAGCGGAGCGTGGACGTTAAGAGCGTTAAGCGAAGCCATGGGAATAGATAAGTCATTTTATTTGCAATTGGCTAGGTTAAGATCGATTCTCAATGGAGAAAATCTTTAATCCTGGTCTACTGTTTTCAGGGGTGATTCTATTAATCAGTAAAAAGGTAATGTTCAATTGGACTCGGGCTATGACTCACTCAGCTCTTTTATTTACTTACTTCAAGCCTATTGGCAGAAAGAGCGGGAAGAAGAAGCTTTTAGGTCTTTCTTCATGGACTAGTGTGGGAGGTGCATCCTTTACTGCCATTACTATAGTACCTATTTCAATGTCTTAAGCTATCAAGACATATTTTTTTTAAAGGGATCTTGAGAATTCAATCCGATGTAAGGTAGACGAACCAGTGTGAAAGCGATTCCTTTCCTAGATGTCAGCCAGCTATCGTTACATATGAGACCACGCCTAGCGAATCGAATAAAGGCAGACTTTGGGTAGGTAGTAGAGAAGGGTCAATGTGAATTGATTCCCAGGTGAGCTGCTAGCTTTGATTCCAATTGGAGTAGACCAGATCCAATGGGAGTCTCATGAGCGTTAAGCCATGGTGATCATTACACTCACGAAAACCATTCCAGATTCGCCGTGGAATTCTGATTCGATAGGTGTGGACTAGCATTTTATTCCATCTTATATAAAATCGAATATATAGTAGCATCTCTCATCACCAATTGCATTACCTAAAAGTCTCTCTCTGGGCTCTATCTTAGGTTGGCCTGGTTCAACAAGGCTGATTAGTATTCGATTTCGTGAACAGAGCGGGGTAAAAAGGCATGATTCTATAAAGTGAATCACTCTTTTGGCTACCTCTTTTCTTTGGGCTCCTTCGGCTTACTACGTCGTCTGTCTTTTTTCTTTCTTTACGCATCCGTCTACCTTTAAATACGAAGGCTGGTAGGTCACGGCATCTGAAACATGGCTCTCTTTCTTAGGCGCCTGCTCCCGCCTTTCCGGTAACGAAGTACTCTTTTTCTGCCTTTAGGCGAACCCTTGGTGAATTAAGTTCGCGCTTCAATTGAACTGTCTGCTTCGAGTCGAGGTAGAACTGATCGAACGGGTGAATGCAAGCCTTTTCTTCTTTCCGGGATTAAGGATCTCCCAAAAACCTCAGGAACAGTCAATGGGAAATCCCGCCATGCCATCGAGGGGCTAGTGTGAACATCCATAGCATACGACGGGCGAGAGGGTGGAGAAGTGACTTCGAGGCTTAAGATAGTTCACCTCAGGTCATAATAGAGTGACGTATGACATCGGTAGGAAGGTAATGCAGCTAAGCCGAGACTTGCTTCTGAGGCATTTCAGACTTTACTTGCTCTTGCCGATGTGATCTTTTCTCTTGTTGAAGAAGTGGAGTTTGCTGCTATCGTAGATAAGAGTTACGGAAGAGCGCCCTAGCTAGGTTTGAAAGAAGAACTGCAGCTCGATTTGAGATGAAATCTGGCAATAGCTCTAGGGTAGGTTCTGCCCCAGATAAGAGAGTTGGGATTGAGCTTTCACTGTTCTCAAGGTAGCGAGTGATCTTATATACGATACCGCCAAACGCTTCGTAAGCAAGAGAAAAGCTATTATGTCAACTATGTGGGACCTTGCCAATTATCAGCTTGATTCAGTCTAGCTATCGGATAACAAAAAAAATGCTGGACCTTCTTTTTGAAGCGGGGAGGGGGTGAGTCGCCAATGATCTAGCCACCCCACCAACTATGGTCTACCCTTGCAGTTCTTAGCCTCTACTATAGTATGAACTGAGCCATAGCTTCTAGGTCATGTCGCCCCCAATCTCCTTGTGATTAGATCTGTTCGACATGCAAGTTTTCTAGCTACTGCCTGTACAGGCACTCGTCAAGCCAGACAGTGTCCTCTGACCTTCCGTGACTATTCCAGACCCATTTCTTTATTAGAAGAGTCTCGTCGGTAAGTGAAATAGGCTTGTGATCTCTCCAATCACCTCCTCTCTTTCCTTACCAACTTGAACGGCTCCTGTTAGCTCTTCGCATGAGCTCTGGCTTTCTTCTTTTGCTCTTTGTCCGAATCCAATCGTCTATGTGGATGACGACTCCCATCTCATCCCATTGATTGGCTTAGTGTGAAGTATCATCATATTAAAAGCGATCTTCTGTCTATTGACCTAAACTCCAAGCAGTTATACCAGACAAGGTCTGAGTTCAGCTCCTATTAAGGAAGATGTGCCACTAGTTCAAAAAAAGAAAGTGGCAGAGCGGATTCAATCACAGCTGATACGAGAACTCATAGACCAAGAGCTCCAACGGGGCTATCGGCGGATATTGCAAAGAGATCACCAGCAGTGGTTAGAAGAGCTGATACTTTCCCAAGAGCGGCTATGCCATTAATAGCTTCTACGGGGCTAGCAGTGCTTATGAACCATCAACAGGAGAGATTGGCTTCATTCTTACCAAGAGTAGACCCGAGAGCTGCAATAGTAATTAGGACTAGCCCACTTCGATGATTCGAAATCGTCGAAGCCCCGAAAATGCCTTTTTTCGAAAAGTGAGTGAAGGAACCCGAGGGGACAACAGGAATTTTCAACCAAAAGGAGTAGGAGCATTCGACTGAAGAAGTTATGGCATCAGTAGCAAAGGACGAAGCAGTTCTTGCTCGACGTTTCAGAAGTGGAGTTTGGGAAGACGGTCTCACCGGGTTTTTACCTATTTCAGGATTCAGTTCAAGCAAAAGCACACTTTGAATCATAAGTTGACGTAGATACAAGAAGAGAAAAAGCAGCCATTTCATCCGCATCTGTTGTCGGAATAACTGCTTTTGGTGGTACGGGCATATGGGTTAAGGAAGCGAGTGATCCTCGGGGAAGTTAAACAAAAAAAGCTCTTCACAAGAGGAGCAAAAAGAAGAAGAATTGTCGGCATATCCGCACCCGGCTCAGCTCAAGGTGCAATACAAGCAAAATGAGAAGAGCAGGCGAAAGCAATGGAGGATCCCCAGTGACATCCGTGAGTCAACGAGTTAGGAGCTCAGACCGGGTAGAAAGGGAATATAAGAAGCTGCATCCTTTTGAATGAGTTTCAGTTGGAAGAGGAGGCATGCATCGTATAATAAGATGGCATCAAATGCAAGAGGGAATCCCACTGTGAGGGAGCTAGCTACTTCTTTCATACCAGGAAATATAAGTATAAGATGGAGAGAATACGATCTTTGACACATATATGCCGATAGGAGGATGCTAGTGAGTTGTTAAGGAACTTCTTTCTCTAAGACTAAGACTGCCCCTTGCTATTGGTAACAGTCTTTAGACCCTTACTCCGCTTATCTCTCAAAAGAAGTTGCTTGGAGGGCCGGCCCATCTTTGTTTCCTACCTCGGATCAAAATCTTTATCTAAAAGATCCGTCCATTGACCCTTGCTTTCGACTCTCGTGAGAGGGCCGGGCCAGACTGGACTTTGCTACCAGACAGAAAGCTCTTCTCTTTCTTTTTTTTTTTCACTTGTTGGCCAGACTGGAGAATTTTGAGTTTATAGGTCGTACGTCTGAAAGAGTTCATCGTACAATTTCGGCGATTACAAAAGGAGTTCCTCTCCCTCTCTGTTTTTTGACTTCCGTCGTTCAGGAAGAACGACTTCGCCTAATTCTCATAATCCCGGCCCCCCCACTAAGCAATTACGTTACGACCACTGAACAAACTTGGTTGACGAACATGGTTTATGCGCCGCTAATGTAGCGGCTTGCCGAGCATTTGACAAACTCACACCATCCATTTCAAATAGAATTTGTCCCGTAGAAACACGAGCAATCCAACCCGTAGGATTTCCTTTTCCTCTTCCCATTCTTATTTCTGTAGGTTTCCCGGTAATAGGGAGATCTGCGAGAACTCTTACCCATATCTTACCATTTCTTCGGAATTGTCCGATTATAGCCCGACGCGCTGCTTCAATGGCTCGATATGAAAGACGACCAGCTTTACAACTTTTAGTGCCATATCTTCCAAAACCAAGTTGTGTACCGTCTGGTTTGCAACCCCTACTACATCTGCCTTTACGATTTTTACTATATTTTGTACGTTTCGGATATAGCACGTCCCCCCTTTTTAGGTTGGGGAGATTTCGCTATCTCCGGGCGGGGCGCACCTTAAGTTCCGGAAAAAAGGTCCTTTTTTTCATCGAAAGAGGAAGTCCATTATTCCAAACCGAGCTCACATCTCCTTCATCGTCGTTGGTCCTTCTTTCGTAGTGGTCTTTGTATAGTGTTAAAGCTAACCCCTGCCTGCACGAGAGGGCCTTCACTTAGCTTAGTAAGCTCGCCCGCTTAAAGTTAACGGTCAACAAAGCCGGTACACACTTCACTTTATACTTAGTCAATTTTGATAAAGTGAAGAGTCAGTATCGTACTTGCAAGTCCTAACTGTGGCATGTGAAAACTGTCCTTACCCGGCTTTCGGGGTGGACCCTTTCACTCTACTCTATGTTTATGTTCTTATATAATATACGCCATCGATTGAAGCAAGCTCCTCCCATGCTTCCTTTTCCATCGTTCAGTACTTTCTTCATCATCCACTATGGTTGAGCTATATGCTTAACACATGCAAGTAGGACCTTCTTTTCGCCGAGAGAAGATGCAACAGGACTTAAAATCCTGGTTCTGGAGCAAGGGACTCAAAATCCTTCTTGCTTCGAAGTCAGTGGCCCAACATTTGTTAAACCCCCTTTTCTCGGGCGATAGGGCTTCCTCTTTTTATTCTTTCTGAGTTGTACCGGTCCACCCCCCATGCGGATTCTTCCCCGCTCCCCCGGAGTGGGAAAGCACGGAGATCGCGCATCGGCTCTGAGATATTCCTTTACCATTTTTCCGCTCCAGGTAAAGAAGCAGAATTCGTTATCGGAGAATCCTCAGCCAACTAGCCTGAGCATGCTCTCTAACATCACATACGATATTCTTGGTCTGAAGAGAAGAAAGCTCCCCTAGCCACGAGCAAAGCAGACCACGGGCATGAAGGAGGTAATCAATGGCATTCAGATCAGGCATGAAGGAAGTAGGGTAAGGCATGATTCGGAAAAGAGTATTTAAGTAAGCATTAAGCTTTTTCATAAGGTTTTTTCTTCCTCTACCTTCTCTTGCTATTGGATTGGAGAGAGAGAGAAGGCCAAGTAAAGAAGTGATTAAGAGCACTTTCGAAGTAAGCATTCGGCTTTGGTTTGGGAAAGATCAGATTCCATATCTGATCTGGATTCTAAGCCTCATCTCCTGCCGTAAGCGCTCTTGCACGAGTCCTGTATCACTACAGGAACAGGAAGTACGAGCAGAAAGAAGTAGTCACTCTTCGCCTTTCAAGATATTGCGTATAATAGATAGAGAGAGCCAGTCTCTTTTCTTTCACCTGCGGACCTTTCTGGAACAACTCTAAATGTTCCCTTTGGGCGAGTTCTCCTACTTTATTTTATGTCGAGGGAAATGCTTAGTCGATCCTCACCTCTGCGTGCTATTGAAAGTGCATAGATCAAGAGATTAGCAATTGCTGCTGACTTTCTCTTTGCTACTTTAGTTGGGGTTCCCCCTACTCAATCTGTAATGGGATCTACCCGTGCTTCGCTCACTCTATATGCGATTGGAAATAAGTCCGGGTGCCTTTCCTGCACACCTTTGCCTTATATGTTTGAGTCTCTGTCCAACCTCTGCCTACGAGGAAAATTGCTGCGCAGAGCCTTTTAATTATAATTAACTAAGTTCTTTGTTAAAGTAAAGTCGCATCCATGGCATGCGCCTAATCCGCTCTTACAGATAGAGATCTGCTCCTCAAGTGCAAGATTCGCTGCTAATTGCATTGGAATTTCCGGGACTATGCTTAGTAAGCGCTTTTAGTCATCTGTTTGCGGCGAATCCAAGAAGTAACTAGGAGAAGAAAGACAAGCAATACAGGGTCTTCAAGGAAGAGGTTGTTGCCCCGGTAGATATAAGAAGTTTGCAGGGAACCCTAGATGGAATGAAACTATTCAACGTTGATGTTGATCTACTTGCTTGTACGATTGGATTTGTGTGAAGTCTACCTATAGCTAATGAAGTCATCCTTGCTTGAAGGAAAGAGGGGAAATCCGGATTATTGACTTTAGACTTTGAAGTAGGCGAATCCGCTGCTCCTGCTCTGGACTAAGGGGCGAAGCGGCTCGACGTCAGGAGAGGGGTAGAAGGCTAGAGGCCACAGAATAAGTGGTAATTCGTTAAAAGCACGGATCGAACGAGAAGGATGGGATTGGGTTCAGTTAAGGTAACCTAGAGGGTGAAAGCTAGATAGAGAAATATCTTTTCGAGTTAGGAAAAAGCTAGAAATAGAACTCAACTGACTTTCTCTAGGAATTCCCAAGCGTTAGCGAAGAAAGAAGCCTCTACAGCTAGGGAGGAAAAAGAAGTTCTTATAGACTTTTTGAATCCTTCTTTCAATATTCGTTAGAGCCTGGGCTTCACCCCTCATTGCTTGTTCGACAGCTAAGACTTCACCGGTGCTAGCAAAGATCTATTTGATTTGGAAGTTCTTTTCTTTGCGGCCCCAATCCAAAATATCTTAAGTATGTAGAGTAGATTTTTTGAACCCATGCTTCGATCACTTCTCTACACTGCTGACTTTACTCAACAAGTGAGCGATAGATCGAGTGCTTCTTTAGGGTTTGATCCCCGTTTACCTAGCGATACAGCCCATCACTAAGCTCATTTCCTGGAAAAGTAGTATCCCGAGGCTAAGACTCCGTTACCGAAGGAAGAAAGCTACTCAAAGAAGAGAGCTGGTCTAGGAGGCATGTTAAGTCAGCTGGTTCTAGGTCTAAAGCTAGTGTAAAATCTTCTCGTCCTTAAGCCTTAAAAGAAAAGTGCTTACGCCTTACCTGGAGTTGAAGTTGGGAAAGCCTAGACTTACTTGCTACGTAAATAGCCCTTTCTTGGCTTGGCATAACGAAATGAAAAAGCTCAATCCCAACTCTTTCTCTTTGTGCCAAAGAGCTTCTTCTTGCATAGGATTTGTCCAAGGTTATCCGGCAAAGAGCTTCTTCTAGAACATCTATCCCATCTCCTTTTACTTTGATAGGTGAGAGCTTGAAGTTGCTTGCCTTCTTGTTGGAATCAGACTGATTGTCAGGAATGAAATTCCATCCCCGACAGAAGTCACTCTTTTGTTTGACAGAATAGCTTGTTAGCAATGACCATTAAAGGAGCTCGGGAATCATGTTCCACCAAAACTCAATCGCCGCTAGTCTCTAAATGGTTTAAGGCTTATTTCAAGCCGAATGCTTGAGGTCGCCCGCTTTTTAGAATCAAGTCCCCGAGGTAAACTTTCTAGATTACCATTCTCAGTCCCATTAGTCCCTGACTCTGTCAAGCCATCAGAATCAGATAAGAAAGAAGGAGGAAATGGGGTTCCATGTGTAAGCACCCTTGCCGTATCGGATAAGGCCTAAGCTGTCCCATATCATAAATCAGTTTGGGCTCGCTTTCAGCTCAACAAGTCTATGTAAGCCTTCATTCCTATCCACTTTTAAGTAAAGCACGGGTCTTGGAGGGCCCCGTACGCTTATTGCTTTTCCTTTTGGATGCCCATTGCGCTATCGCTTAAGGTACCTTGTCTTAGGGTTTACCTCACGTTTTTCTATTACGAAAGCCGCATCAATTCCTTCTCTTGGTTTTGTTATTGAAGTTTCTCCCGGTCTTGCTCGTTCACTTTCTATTAATGCCGGGTCTATCCCCACTGGCATCTCGCTTTTTGTTTCAGGCCGCTGGAACACTATTCCTTTATCCTTAAAAACTGCTTTTCGAAGCAATTCATTCCTTCTTTCTCTTTCTTGCCTCAGCGAGTGAAGCTGCTCCCCTTACTTAAGCAATTCCTTCCTTTTCCGTCTTCGTTGAGTGAGGAGCGATGTCAAGTCTTTTTATTGTTCTGTGAGTGAATGGAAGTGTGGTTGTAACTGCTTTACCGGCGTGAGTAATCATTCCAAGCCCTGGAAGTCTTCCTACCAGTCTTATTCTATTCCGGTAGTCCCTAAAGTGGTAAGGTAAGAGAGATGCCAAAGATGAAAGGAAGGAGAGGTCATCCAAGCCTATTCCATCGAGACGGATTTAGGACTTAGGACTGACGGATAGACTGAGTCAAGCACTACAAGAATTAGCACAAGGATTAGTGCCGGAAAGGTTGATACGATTGATTCGCTTGCCTCGAAGACTGGCATTAGGCCCCTACTGATGATAATGATAGGATTGATTCGAAGCAAGAGGTCCCTTTTCCGCTACGGGAGATGCTAGAAGGGAAGAAGCCATCGGGGGCTCTTACTATTACACAGGCTAGCAGACAACCGGAAAGCTATTCGCTTGTAACAACCAAAAAGCAGTAAGCCTTCCTTCCTACAAATCTCCTCATAGCGCTGCATTTTTGGTTAGTATGATAGTTGTAGCTCTTTCTTTGACTTCCGCAGCCGCGGGGGTTGACCTTTCATCAGTGGGGGTTTCGAAGTTGGGATGTTTTTTCCGTCGACGCCCCCGCGTGTCGATCTCCTCATTCACTGGCATTGTTGATTGGGCTGGTTCAGTAGAGGACAGGAGATCAACCTCAGGATGGTGTGCATTTGTTAGGGGGTGTCCTGGAAAAGTAAAAAGCAATCAGTGGTGGCAACTATAGTGGGTGCAGAAGCTGAGTATAGGGCCAGGGCACAAGGTATGTGCGAAGGATTATGGATCAAGTCTCTCTTGGAAGAGGTTGGCGAGGTGGTAGAAGTACCCATGAGGCTATACTGTGATAACCAAGCCGCTATACATATTGCCAACAATCCACTTTCTCATAATAGGACTAAACACATTGAGGTGGATTGCCACTTCATTAAGAGAAAAGATTGAGTCCCATATCACACCACATGTTGCTTTCCGTAACCAATTAGCCAATGTATTTACTAAAGCACTCTCAAGGGATAGACTGATCGAGCTAGTAATGTGCAAGTTGGGCATGATTAACATCTATGCTCCAACGGTAGTGTTTAGTAGGGATATACTAGTATACTTTTGAAACTTGTATAATCCTTTTTTTTTTTAATGTCATTTTTTACCTAATAGAATGAAGGAGGGCTTCATTCTTGAGCCCTAATTTTATCATCCTTTCTCTTCTACCATCTTCTTTTTCCTTTTCTCTCTCTCTCTTTCTCCTCTATTCTCCTTTCATCTCTCAATTCGGAATTAACAGAGCCTAAGTTTACTTTCTTTAGAACGAGGACTTTTTCAAAGAGGAATGAGATTTGTTTGGGAATAGAATCTGGACTTTATGAAACATGTGGTTGACTATCGGTGGCTGAACAAAAGACGTATGACTTGAGAAAGTAAGATCCCCCCTCTGTTGTCGGGAAAAGGAGCTCTAATGGTACTTTAGAATAAGAATAATGGGTACTATTAGGAGTAGGAGAATGCAAATAATAGGTCCTTTTCGCCAAATCCAGGTTTTGAGTTTACTTCTAGTTCTGGACCGATGGGAACTCCTACTCATAAACGAGTAGCTTCTTAGCTTCCAACTTATAACACCTTTTGGGTTTTGGGACTTGAAGCCAAGTAAAGGCAGCTTGCTGTTGAGTTATAGTCTTTTCTTTACTTTAAGATATGAGACTTAGGCGAGGCGGAGAACCTCAGTTAAACAAACTAGTAATCTAATCAGTCATCTAATCTTAGGCTTCGTTACTTGACTTATCAGCCAGCAAGTAAACTACCTTAATCCCCTGAAGTAAGGATTTGGCAGGAGCAAGAGTAACTGTAGTTGCTACGGCCAGGGGAGCTAGTCTCGTAACTGCGGGCAGTTCGAGTTCTTTACAAGACAGATGGGAACTGTAGCTAACAAGTGTGCCCTGAGGGGAATCCTATTTATACTCTTTCTACTATATTATATTGGCAGGACGGGTGCCAAGTTTTTAGTAGCTAGACAGCTAAGCCAGTAGTAGTTCAGTTCAGGTCAGGGCATGAAGCTACAGGTTTTATTTGCGGTCGTGAGACGGAGAGGTCAGAGGCAACTTGTTATATAGGTAGTCGTGCGTCTTAATAGATCTTCTTCTATACTAGTAGTAGCAGTAGTGGGTGAAATCGGTTTCTTAGGTAAGGTTTAGTTTCTTTATTAGAAGGATAAGCACGGTTATTGCTGTTTGTCCACTATTCTATTTCCTTCTCGCAGCCGAGGTAGGCTGAAAACTTGCTCGTTAGAAGTAGTTAACGAACGGAAAACGGAAATAAGGCCATGTCTATAAGTGAAGATTGGATGGATGCCCGCTCTCCTTGGGTATGCTTTAAAAAGGGCTGTTTTCATGCGTGCTGGTGTTCGTAGTCTCTTGCTTTTTCTGTTCTCGTCGGGGAAGGCGGGATTGGCGCATCTACAAGTTGAGAGTGTGCTCGGGCAAATGGGCTAACCAGAACTACTAGTAACGGGATTTGCCTGCAATACGAGTAAGGGGAATGGAACTCTTGTTTGAGAACTTTAGCTACGGACTTAGGTTAGCTAGCTCAGCTTCTCCTATGGCTATTTGGATTAAGGAACTGGGGTAATGCGAAGACAAAGAATAATAATAATGGTGAGTCGCGCGAAAGCCGTTCCAAAGCTTTTAGGCCACCCTTCAGGCCTTTCCAACCTGTTGTGTGTGAGTTTTTTTATTTTTAAGCAATATGTCCAGTCTATTTAAGGACACGTGGCATAGCGATCTCTCACCAAAGTGATTTTACATACACCACGTCTCGACCTGTTCGTCCCAGCGGAACGAACTAAGGCGTGCTTTGGGCTTCCCGACCCCTCTTTCCCCCTTTCCTGTTTAGGAAGATAGCAGCCATTTCAATAGCTGCGAGAAAGAGTGGCCTCCGCCGATCTTATTCTTAAGTTTGTGCCATCATCTGACCAACTGCCCTCTATTCTGACTAGAACAAGGGCTATCTTCTCTTCGCTTTCAGTAATTGAAAGACAAGCGTGATTTCACCCCTGAAGCTTGAAGGAGAGTGTGAGATTATATAACACTATTATTTATTTGCTTTTTTCAATATTAACCAAAAAAAAAGGCAATTATTGTATTCTTCTCTCATTAGAACAAGAGAAGAGAGAAAGACAGGGAATGAAAATGAAATTGGGTAAAGCTGTATAGAAAAGTTTTTTTTTCTGCAGAAAGAAAAATGATTGTTTTCCCGGAAATGTGGAGGAGGGTAATGTTGATAAGAAGTTGATCTAGTGGCAAAAGACTAAGAGCGGATACTCTCACGGTAAGAGCTCCTTCTGAAACAACTTCCTATTCTAATTCAATCTCGGACATTAAGATTAAGTCAGTTCAGTTACTTGCCTTAGGGCAATCGGAGTTCAGTGAGAAGGATTTGATTAACTTAGGGTACTAGCTTCACTAACGATGTAAAAGAGCTCCCTCTTGCAAGCAAGTCCTTCTTGCTAAGACCGGTAATGCCTTCAAACAATCCCATCGCCTAGAGCACCTTCTGAAGCCCTTATTCGTCACAACAGCGGACCATTCCCTCACAGCTGAGTGAGATGCTCCCATCTTGATCTCTTTTTTCCAGCCTTCTTTTACCGAGGACTGCTTAATGAGTAAGCACTGTTTGCCGTTTTCGAATTACAGCCACTCCTTCCTCTTTCTTCCCACTACGCGGTAAGAGTGCTGCAAGGTAGGCAGGGATGTAATGAGTAAACCGAAGCCGAATTAGCTACCGTTATTTCCTGCCTTTCGTCGAGTGGATCTTGTGTCACTTTCCCACTTTCCTTGTTCATATGCCTCTAACCTCAGACTCCGCTACTTTGAGTTCTTAGTCGAGACTCTTTCTTTCACTCCTGCAACTCGAGAAAGTTGAAGTTACTTCCTAACTATGAGCTTTTTTCCTCTCACTTAGGGAATGATTGGCATTGGCCCTTCCCACCTTTTAGGTCTCGGTCGAGCTACTTTCGTTCCTCTACCATTTGTTGCCCTAAATGACTTTGAAAAAATTATTGACTTTCTCTCCTTTCACGTCACGGGTGACTCTTCTGTTCCTTGCTATTGGTAGGCTATTCAGGCTAACGATTGATCCAATTAAGACTTTACCGCGGAGGAATTCATTCTTCTCAATCTCTTCTTTCTAAGAAGTCTCTTGTGCCTTCCTTGCAGAACAAATCACGTACTGTATATAGACCTAGACAGCAGCTCCCGCTAATGCAATTCTTTTGTAGCAGCGCCGGCACCCATTGATTTGTGCCCCTATAAGATAAGATCTCGGTTTGAGAAGGATTTTGACGATTCATTCACTAGGAAAGGGATTCCTATTGAGCTTGACTTTATAAAGATTGAAAAACTCTTTGTGGTCGAAGGTCATTTTAATTGAGTCAACAAGCTTACCTTTGCTTGAAAAAGCTAGATAGACTACCACCCTATGTATCGATGTATCGATCGGTTTTTTTCCTGGGCTGATTCAGTCGCTAAGCGCTAAGCAGCAGTCGAAGTCTCTGGACAATCACTGGCTGTATGAACTCGTCCATTAAAGGAATTCCAAAATAGACTTTTTACCGCGCATCGAGAAGGAG